ACAATTTGCATAAAAAGTGTTTTTTCTGGACCAGACAATAGAGAGTCTGGAGAAGACAATAGAGAGTCTGGACCAGACAATAGAGAGTCTGGAGAAGACAATAGAGAGTCTGGACCAGACAATAGAGAGTCTGGACCAGACAATAGAGAGTCTGGACCAGACAATAGAGTCTGGACCAGACAATAGAGAATCTGATCCAGACAGTCCAGTGTCATGTTAGCGCGTTTACTGACGTTGTTGAAACTAAAAGCGATATGTAAATCAGTGGCCATAATATGCATACTTGACAAGGTAACGCTATGTCGTTAATGTATGTATTTTACGTCACACAATACATATATACATGTTCATGTATGTTCCAATTGAACGTGCGTACTAGATAAAGTTATGTAATACAATCATACTTATTTATATATTTTTAAGACCCCAGCCCCACCCCCCAACCCCCACCCCCACACCCCTCCACACACCACCTCCACAATATAAGACGCTCGGCCCCTAACGTGGAACGTAACAGAACACATCGCAACCAACACCGGACAGATAGGTTCTCCCTCAGTTCTACCAAGTGCAACCCGAGGAATGTAAGACGTTTAAATACCTCAGTGTAGACTTCCAGAAGTTCTGTAACGTAAACTATATGACTGGCTAACAATCTGTAGAAAAACAGACCAACACTTTATAAACCTTCTGATCACAGCGCTTCCTTACGAACGAGGCCATACGCCCTGATCGTGGCAAGACCAGCCTGTTGATACGAGACTAAATAAACTCCCCTTCCAGACTCAATCAGCAGGTGCGATTTACAGTTGAACGTTGAAGGTCGATTTTCGACAAATCACAGAATAAATCACCACGCACCTGTTCCTTCAAATGAGAATTAAAATCGTAAACGAAACCAGATCTTTGAGGGGGTTTCGGTCTTGATTATGCTGATTTACAAAGCTGAACATTAATTGGCAGATTGAATAACGATGGTGTCATGTCGACAGTCATTAGTTTCAGTCAGCGGGACTTTCTGTTCGGGTAAGTAATCTATTATTGTTAACTAAGTAAGATCATTTGTACTTTGATGAGTGCTAGTTAGGCGTTTATCTTCATGAGCTGCTGAATTCTGTCAGGATCATGACCATGATTCCAAATTACCTTGTGTGTGATATTGGTGAGTTAATCGTCAATTTAACGCACAAAGGTCTGTAAGCCGGAGATAGAAGTAACTGTGCTAACAGGCTAAACAGGCTAAAAAAATTGCTTAACATCATTTGAGGTTGTAGTCAAATTTTAAATATGCTTCAATTTGAAATTTAAATTTAAAGAAAATTAAAAACATAAAAAGGTCATTGGTTACATCAATACACAATCATATTTAAAGAGAAATTGGGCTTGTTTTTAACGATACGAAGCGATAAATAAATAATATGTACAGTTAACCCGACAAAATGCGGCCCAGTAAACAGACTTTTTCTCTACGTTCGGATTGTCGAACCTTCTCTCTCCATAACTCCAACAAAAAAACACTAAAATGATCCAATCCCCTTTTGAGTCGACGATATATACAAACATATCTTACCGCCTACTTCGAAATTATAGCCACATACACTTCCTTTAAACTCTTTATATCAATAACCATTCTATCTCTAATTTCTACAATAGTACAGTTCATTTCACCCCGACACACCACGGGGAAACGTCTGCGATCCCTGTTTATCATATAATGGGCAGGTTTCTCGACAGGATAAAGCCAACGGATAAAAACTATATCCGTTGGGGTCATATGCGGATAGAGATGCAAATATCAAAGGTCAATGTAGGGACTACTTACAGTGTTTTTGCCTCGCCCTTTTCTTTCGGCGATCGAGTCAGAATTAACCATCGGGAATCTGGATAAACTGCGGGGATAATTGCTATCATTATCAAAAGAACAGTCAAATATACTGAAAATCAGTGTCTAACTGTGACGTAGCAAAGGCATTTTAGCTAAGTTTTGGCAACTTTGGAGATAAAATTAAAAATTTCGAAACAATTTTGCGAGGCCACTAGGCCTAGCCAAGCGGGATCAGTAACCATATCTGTGCTTGTAGACCTCTGCGACTTAAAACCTTTTCCAAAAATTAAAATAGTTGGATTTGGCCGAAATATGTTTGAATTGTTACCTTGTTTCGTTTGGTCGCTGTGTGTTCATCTGACTGCACTTCTTAACGTTATGACAGGGCAGACCGACTGTCAACAACGTCTGACCGTGGCCGTGACGTCTCATAGACTCGGGTTAGAGTAGCTTCCCTTTGACAAAGGGCAGTTACTCGAGCGGACAGGCAGATGGATTGCCGCGAAAGGCAAGTAAAAACAATAATATTGTTGTTTTGCGTATATGTTGCTCCGTCACTGCATAAGAAACAGCTTTTAGTCGGAATTATATTGGCTACTGTCCGACTGACACATCATTTACCCTGTGACATAATAAATATTGAAGCGCGCATTCCAGGAAAACTCTCAATGTTTCGGTAATTTTTGAGAGAGAGGGAAATCGATTTTCAAGCACAGAAATAAATAATGACATTACATGATAAATAGGGTTATCACGCTTTTGTGTTTAGGGATGGTTAATATCTTGTATTAGGAATTAACACTATGTACTGAGCTCGCCAAGCTAGGCTCGCTAAATACAATGTTTGTTCCTAATACAGGATATTTACCATCCCCAAACACACTCGCGTAATAGCCTCTATCTAATAATCTGCATGGGGATATTTCCCCTCAGTCCCTTCAAACACATGATAACGGAAGACCGCTGTATTCGAAAGTATCTTTTTATCATTGAGGTAATGGTGGACGTGAGTATACGTACGCTTGTATTTCCCTGGTTTACAGTTCAAAGCTAATTATCTCTACATTCCCTTCTAATTTCCGTTTCCCCGACCGAAGTGCATCGTGTTTTTCAAGAGACTATTTCCTCATATCTTCAAAATCAACAAGTAGCAGTGATCAGATAATCTCGAAGATGATATTTTCACACTTAGAAGCATATGTTTGAAATATGGAAGTAAGTTCATGTGCCAATAAATTTGCAAAAAAGCATAATTTATTATTCATGATTGCGACCATCTTTATCGCTTCTTGGTGCTTTGTTTATTGGTTTATCCTGTCAACACATGCCAGCGTTATGCTAACGACAACTTTGCAGTTGCTTTGTATATACAAGCATCAAGCGGAAGCCTATATACTTTCGCTTACACCTTCGTTGTTAAGGCAACATGCATGTATTATATAAGAAGGAGTGGTTTTTTTTCACAGTTTAATTCTTTAACCACGTTGTATTGATAACATAGCACAGAATGGGAGACTATCATCTATGCACTATCACCTCGTTTATCTGACGTCGTTTCGTGTGAAATCTTCCTGATTAAATGTCCGGAATAAGGTTTTGTTTTGTTTGTTTGTTATTTAACGCCGCACTCAGTAATATTCCAGTTAGATGACGCCAAACTGTAAAACATCGCGTCAAGACCAGACAATCAAGTGATTGTTATCACGAGCATCGAACCACACCATTAGGATACGATGACATGCGTCAACCATGTCTGACCACCCGATCCCGTTCGTCGCGTCTTACGACAAGCATGGGTTGCTGAAGACGTTTGCCGGATCTTCACGGGTTCCGGATTAACGAATCATGAGTGGAGCAAACAATAAAATCACAATGATTTACGTTGCTGACAAGATTGCATGTCAGGGTTTGTGGATTTACGAGGTTTCAGTGTTGAGTAAAGTTGATCCAAAACACGACACGTCATGATGGCCATCTTATGATAAATAACATTCTATGTATCTAACCAGATACCATGTGTGCGTGTGTGTGTGTGTGTGTGTGTGTGTGTGTGTGTGTGTGTGTGTGTGTGTGTGCTTGTACTTGTCCGGAATTATGTCGATTTTATAATGCCAGCACACTGAGATACCTTGCCGCAGTTTAACATGAATACCCTACTCAGACACAGTATACTCATTCCAATCCGACCAGTTCTTGTTGTAGCCCCTTAATGCCGAGCGCCAGACAGGGTAACAACAAGTACCACCATTAGCGTTTTGGGGTATGACCCGGCCGGGGATCGAACCCCGGATCTTCCACTCTCCGGGCGGACACGCTACCACTAGGGGTCCCATAATGGGAGAGTTGACTATTAGAACAACGAACGAACATACTTTTGTCAAAGTAAAAAATGTAACGTTTTGAAAGTTTTATTCGTCATCACTTGGGTAAAGCTTCAGAATGATGCATTGTGAATAACTGCACAAGTAATCAGGAGATTGTACGCAATATTCACTGACTTACACGGTGAAGCCAACAGTCTGTAACACTATTGTATACACGTATTTTAATATATCTCTGTTGACATAGTATGTTTTTCATGATATCCTCTCTCTATAAAGAAACAATTAAGGTGTTGAGTATCACAACGTGGACTTTGTTTTGTTTACATGTGTTGTTTAAGAGTTTCTGACTTGACTTCCAGGAAATGCTACCTCCTTGCTCCACTCCACGTGACACAGGTGTGCCAAGAAAAACAAACATGTTTTTGGACCACTTCTTTAAGTGTACTTAAACGAACCCAATTCTAGAAAATCATGAAAATTGTACATCAAAGGACAGCTTTCTGGTAAGGCTTGACAATTACACGGTAAGATATTAATCCCTCCCTAAAGTGAAAAAAAACTTCATTTCAAAACCGGATTTCTCATCTTATACCTTGCTTATTTTCGCACAGATAGGAAACGATTTTTCTGTCCATTTTTTTCTTTTAACATGTGTAGGAGGTTTGGCAGCGAGTTAATCAAATCATTATGTAAATATTCTGTAGTTAAGTAATAACCCATATGTGTGGTTCTTTAAGCTGAACTCTTTAAATGTTCATTTCTCAGCATGACATATACATCGACATGTTACTTGCATTATAGTACGATCGTTATCAGGGGCCTGTGTGCCGGAAAACTGGGTTTTGTCCATAATGAAGCTCCATAGAGGACCCAAGGTTGGTGGCTCTTGTACCATCCAATGCTTGTTTAATGTAACGATAAATGCGAGTTTTCATACGGAAAACGATCTGCACGATATGAAGACTTTTTTAAAGGACAGCGTTTGCGGCTGTAGCTATACTCGGCATTCTGGCAGTGAGGTGATGGCATGTACCTTCATGTTCAGTTCTTTATAGTTTTCAGTTCAAAAACACAATGTTCAGCGATGGTACTGGGACTGTTAACAAAAGGTTTGTCTTTTCAAGCAGGTATGAATATAAAAGATTTGCAGTAAAGGGCACAATCATATTGACCAGTTGGACACACTAATTCATCAATATATGCTTGACCGGGAGCCAGTGATCTGGAAATTCCGTAAACTCCCACATTGGTGATATGGTTGATTGCGTGTTGTCGTTGGACGATGCTCATAATGTCAATCACTGGTTTGCCTGGCCTGGACTCGATTATGTATAGGACGACGGCATATAGCTTGGATATTGCTGAGTTGAACAACCAACAAAATATAATCAGATAGTCCATACAAATACGTTGATATGTAATGAAATATAATTATGATTATGTATGGGACGACGTCATATAGCAGTGATATTGCTGAATTAAACAACCAACAAAATATAATCAGATAGTCCATACAAATACGTTGATATGTAATGAAATATAAAACAAAATGTCTCAATTCAGACCGTATATTTCAATATGAACCAAATGCTTTGGGTTACTCTCGTTAGCATACTGTATATGTTAACGAGAGAAGCAGTCATTTTCCCCATAAGCTATAGTAAGATTGTGTGTCCACAAATCCTGCGCTGTACCTCATGCGTTGTTTGATAAGCACAAAATATATTTGAAACATATAACGTCAACGCCAGAGAGTACCCAGTCTCGATTATCCGAAACAGATTCCATGATGCGTAAAAGGCAAAATAGCGGTGAAAATATGATAATGGATCACTGAAAATCAGTGATGAAGAAAGTTTGGTAAGTAGACTTAAATTATTGACGTGTGAAAGGTCAGTTGCATTTTTATACGGTTGCTGGGGACTTGTGGATTGACAATTCGTACAGAAAACGATTACAGAGTGAGTGAGGGTATGTTCTTTAACGCCACAGTCTGCCAGAGTTCAGCTACATCCCCGACTGAGGATCTTCAGATAAGCATGTGGAGTTTGTTATGTCCAGGAATCCATGTGGGGGAGCCTAAAAGAAGACCTCAAGGTTAAAATTCCTGTGTTGAAATACATATACGAAGAAATAAATAAAAGGTAACTTATCTACAATTACAAATATAATGAAAAGGATAATTTTCTCGTTTGGGGCCAGGAAGTGATTTATAAATTATTTATTTCATGTCATTAAATGACAGTGATTGATAGCTCGTCTGTTTTACACGCTCACAAAGATGTGCATCTCTCCGATTAAAGTTTATACATCTCACCAGCGCTGCTAAGTGTTTGCTTCCTGTTGCATTTCGAAATGTAGAACAGAAAAGGAATATAGAGCTACGCGGTCTGTAGCTCACCTGAGTTAAGATAAACTGCCAGGCAAAAGAAAGTAGATATACACACTTGAAAACTGGATTGACAAAACAAGTACAAACTTTATCAACCGGGAGTCAACAGTTATTTCCCAAATCTTTTCATGTATTTTATCAAGGTGCTCAAGTGATTTGATGCTCTTCGCGGGGCAAGACCCGTTTTATTACAATAAAGATCTTGATTATCAATCGTATCGTCTTGAGGAGTCACCGCCATTTTGTTTCAAACAAATGCAAGTGATATGAGAAGTGGCATCTGATTCAGTAGGAGGGACATGGTAGGGACAAAGTAGGGCGCTCGGCATTATTCATGTTCATGTTAAAAATGCAGCATGGTATCTCAGTGGACTCACTTTAAACTCGGCATTAGTCGCTGTAGAAGTGCAAGAATCTTGAACGCAACGTTAATGCCCATTTCACCTCATCTTTTATTTTTATTACAAATATTGTGAATCTGATTTCTGCGCTTGAGTGAGTGAGTTGCTTTTAACACCGTTTTGAAAAGTGTTTCAGTTGTATCGCCGAGTGTCGGCTGAAAATGGAACGTTTGAAGTGATGGGGGGTGGTAGATGTTTACCACTCTGGAGAAACACGGGAATGGTGTTGTCAGACCAATGATCAAAAGGATCTGGAAGTCGAACCCATGATGAGGGACGCAAGTCCGCACAGCAAAGGGCAACGCTTTAGACCGCTAATATATAACTTGTAAACCTGGGCCACCCGAGATCATTTCCTTGAAATGAAAATACCACACGTTCTGAATTGAGCACATTTTATGAACTCTTATTGTATGGACTATCTTGATTTATTTCGTCTGTTTGCTCATTAGTGGTAGCTATATGATGGCGGTCAGTGTATAATCATGTGGTGGCACGTGGTCTTGTTGTGACACGTGGTCCTGTGGTCAGTTGAAGTAAAGCAACGTCGGTCGCGCAGTCTTTAGAAGTGTGGCCGCGCTTCGGCAGCTTGGCGCCTGAAAGTTTCTCGTGCTTAAAGTGTGAGTTAAAAACTTGACGTCGCATCGGCATTATTTCAGTAATATAGCGACGCACTACACTGAAGCACATGTAAGACGTGTGGCCTATCCTTGGACAAGTGACTTTGTTCGAATTGTGCCTCTGTTCATCCATCAGTGAATGGGTACCCGATAGGATAGATGGCAATGTGGTTGTTAACCTTCTAGCGCATAACAGGCAGCTTGCGTTGTATACTCCCGAGGGAGCTGAGAATGATTCTTGAGTGCACACTGATCCTGCGACCGGGGTAATAATAGCACTTTGAGCATGCCCCCTAGTCGTGTGGAAATATGCGCAATATAATTACCCTATTATTATAACCAAGTCTGGACCAGGCAGCCGGTTATTGAAATTATGGTGAATGTTCCACAACGTACGTTGACAAACTATCAACCAAGTCACCGACCCATTTCGTCATCTTGGACGAGATTGTTGGGGACCAATTCTAACTTGGAATCCCCACAGAAGATCAACACTCAGGCCTGCACGTTCAATTTGTGACTTACGTCAACCCAAGGTATATACTGTTTGTTTGTTTGTTTGTTGTTTCACGCCGCACACGCCGCACACGCCGCAATATGACAGCGATATGAGGCAGTCTGTAAATAATAGTCTGGACCAGACAATCCAGTGATTGACATCACGAGCATGGATCCAAGCAATTGGTAAACGATGACATGCAACAACAAAGTCAGCGACCCTGACACCCGATCCCGTTAGTCACCTTTTACGGCAAGCATGGGTTGCTGAAGACCAATTCTACTCCGGATCAAGGGCCAAATATGTACTATCTGTCTGAATAGGGCAGTCCTATGTGTGATAACAGCACCAGTCTGCACATTACGAAGATGCCCGCCCATCCTCCGTGAAGCACTCCAGCCATCAGTCTGCACATTACGAAGATGCCCGCCCATCCTCCGTGAAGTACTCCAGCCAGCAGTCTGCACATTACGAAGATGCCCGCCCATCCTCAACGGAGTACTCCAGCCAGCAGTCTGCACATTACGAAGATGCCCGCCCATCCTCAACGGAGTACTCCAGCCAGCAGTCTGCACATTACGAAGATGCCCGCCCATCCTCCGTGAAGTACTCCAGCCATCAGTCTGCACATAACGAAGATGCCCGCCAATCCTCCGTGGAGTACTCCAGCCATCAGTCTGCACATTACGAAGATGCCCGCCCATCCTCAACGGAGTACTCCAGCCATCAGTCTGCACATTACGAAGATGCCCGCCCATCCTCAACGGAGTACTCCAGCCATCAGTCTGCACATTACGAAGATGCCCGCCCATCCTCAACGGAGTACTCCAGCCAGCAGTCTGCACATTACGAAGATGCCCGCCAATCCTCCGTGAAGCACTCCAGCCATCAGTCTGCACATAACGAAGATGCCCGCCAATCCCCCGCGGAGTTCTCCAGCCATCAGTCTGCACATTACGAAGATGCCCGCCCATCCTCCGTGGAGTACTCCAGTCAGCAGTCTGCACATTACGAAGATGCCCGCCCATCCTCCGTGGGGTACCGGTATTCCAGCCAGCGGTCTGCACATTTCGAAGATGCCCGCCCATCCTCCGTGAAGTACTCCAGCCAGCAGTCTGCACATTACGAAGATGCCCGCCGAACCTCCGTGGAGTACTCTAGCCATCAGTCTGCACATAACGAAGATGCCCGCCCATCCTCCTCGGAGTTCTCCAGCCATCAGTCTGCACATTACGAAGATGCCCGCCCATCCTCCGTGGAGTACTCCAGCCAGCAGTCTGCACATTACGAAGATGCCCGCCCATCCTCCGCGGAGTTCTCCATCCATCAGTCTGCACATTACGAAGATGCCCGCCCATCCTCAACGGAGTACTCCAGCCATCAGTCTGCACATTACGAAGATGCCCGCCCATCCTCCGCGGAGTACTCCAGCCATCAGTCTGCACATCACAAAGATGCCCGCCCATCCTCCGCGGAGTACTCCAGCCATCAGTCCGCACATCACAAAGATGCCCGCCCATCCTCCGCGGAGTACTCCAGCCATCAGTCTGTACATCACAAAGATGCCCGCCCATCCTCCGCGGAGTACTCCAGCCATCAGTCTGCACATCACAAAGATGCCCGCCCATCCTCCGCAGAGTACTCCAGCCATCAGTCCGCACATCACAAAGATGCCCGCCCATCCTCCGCGGAGTACTCCAGCCATCAGTCTGTACATCACAAAGATGCCCGCCCATCCTCCGCGGAGTACTCCAGCCATCAGTCCGCACATCACAAAGATGCCCGCCCATCCTCCGTGGAGTACTCCAGTCAGCAGTCTGCACATCACAAAGATGCCCGCCCATCCTCCGCGGAGTACTCCAGCCATCAGTCCGCACATCACAAAGATGCCCGCCCATCCTCCGCGGAGTACTCCAGCCATCAGTCCGCACATCACAAAGATGCCCGCCCATCCTCCGCGGAGTACTCCAGCCATCAGTCCGCACATCACAAAGATGCCCGCCCATCCTCCGCGGAGTACTCCAGCCATCAGTCTGTACATCACAAAGATGCCCGCCCATCCTCCGCGGAGTACTCCAGCCATCAGTCCGCACATCACAAAGATGCCCGCCCATCCTCCGTGGAGTACTCCAGTCAGCAGTCTGCACATCACAAAGATGCCCGCCCATCCTCCGCGGAGTACTCCAGCCATCAGTCCGCACATCACAAAGATGCCCGCCCATCCTCCGCGGAGTACTCCAGCCATCAGTCCGCACATCACAAAGATGCCCGCCCATCCTCCGCGGAGTACTCCAGCCATCAGTCCGCACATCACAAAGATGCCCGCCCATCCTCCGCGGAGTACTCCAGCCATCAGTCCGCACATCACAAAGATGCCCGCCCATCCTCCGTGGAGTACTCCAGCCAGCAGTCAAACGTAAATAGTGTGGGTTTCCCTTTATTACAGACAGTCCAGAAAATTCCTCGATTATTGACAAAGTTTCGAATCTTACGACTGCTTGTCTGACCTTACCTAAAGGCTTCTGCCAATCATTATCACGACTTCGTTGTGTGAAGTGCCGTGTCCTTGATGATGTGTAATCATCATAGAGATTCCCCTTTCTTCACACTAAGTTGGTTTACAACAAAACACAACAACATTCATTTTGTCATGAGAAATGGTTTATCTTCATATCGGCCTGACAAGTGACAAGATATCATGCAGTCCCAGAAACAATCAACTCTTGACAGAAGACTGACCCGTCCATCAAACAGTGGCATCAAATGCCCAGGATTCTAACTTCCTTCTTCAATTAATATTACACCATCACACAGACAATTATGCATATATACCTACATTATACTTCTTAAACCTCTTAACATTCACTACACAATGTGGCTGCATATATCTATTAATGTTTGTCATATCTCATCAAAAATCAACTGAATGATTAATATAAGGCCAAAAGAAATACACTTCTTGTTCAGAATTGTCTTATACTTGGGGACCTTCTACTACAAGGCTGTGGATTTTCTATTTTTCTTTTCAGTGACTTCAAGTCCACAGAAGGATACAGTTCAAACCCAATGTCTTGCATATCAGTCCGTGTACAAGAGCTACCATCTATATCTACAAACTCTCACAACTGTGTATCAACCTTCCTGCATTCTTCCTTCACCTGACAAGGTCCTCCTGACAGTATCTCCCTACAACTTAAAGGCCAGATCTTCAGCATGCTGGGCTGTTACTGAACCCCCCCTCCACTCACATGAGCCCTTCATTGATTCCCTTTAAATCCCTACTGAAGACCCATTTGCATGTATTTTAGCAATATTGACATTTATTGACAGTGTTTTCATATGCGCTAAGAGGCATGGTGTTACAGCGCTTTACAAGTGGCCTAATTATTATTATTATTATTATCATTATCATTATTATTATTATTATTATTATTATTATTATTTCACAAACCAATAAACAGTTTGCCATGCATGTTATACAGGTTTACAAATATTTATAAATAATTCAAAACAATTGCAACATCGAACAACCATCAGTCAAACATTTTTTCAAAATAATCGAAAACAAAGTCTCTCCAACACAACATAAAAAAATTTCCACAAAAAATAATAACCTACATATTACCTGACAGGAGTAAGCAGCGATAGAAGTTCCTATATTTCTTTCTTTTAATTTTCACCAAGAGTGAGTTGGGTTTTGCTCTTCTTTCAGCAATATTCCAGAAATATCCCAGGGACACCAGAAATGGCCTTACACATATAGAAGAAAGGTATACTGACATACTGAGATCAGTGAGATGACAAATATTTTATTATGTGATAAAATACTAACACAAGGATGAAAGATAAGTTGCTGTGTACTCATGCATATCAAGAACTGTATTCTATTTTCAGTATAATCCTCCATTGAGTACCCTTCTTCACTCTCACAGGGCATGATCCAAAGGACAAGCGATTCATTTCTTGTGGCCTTACACTGTTGTCAAAAAGATTTTAATAACTGAAATTATGTTTAAACTTCAAACAATATATATTCAACTGGACTGACAAACACGAGACTCACAATGATTCTAAAAATGAGACCCGTTTTCCAGTTATTCATATAGCTTCTGACATAATTTCTCACATGTCTACATCATACACATCCTCAAAATAACATCCCCACCCACCATGCTGACAAACATGATAACATCAATTTAAATGGAATGTAATTCTACTTAGGAAGTAATTTGCTGCATTCTATTGGCTTGTTTATCATCATAACCAGATAGATGTTATTCAGAAAAAGTCCATCACTGCAACAAGATCCTCATCCTGCTCAGACAATATTTTTTATATTATTTTTAAGGGGGATGGGATTTGTAAATGATGTCTGCATAAATGATAGTTGTGCTTCTTAAAATGTTTTCCAAACCTAATAAAAGGCAAGGCATGGGAAATTGAGTAACATTTTCTAGTCAACATCCCAGGAATATTGCAGCACGGGGAAACAAACAATGGACTGATATTGTGAGTCTTAACCAGACAATCCAGTGACTGATATTGTGAGTCTTAACCAGACAATCCAGTGACTGATATTGTGAGTCTTAACCAGACAAACCAGTGACAGATATTGTGAGTCTTAACCAGACATTCCTGTGACTGATATTGTGAGTCTTAACCACACAATCCAGTGACAATCCAATGATTGATATTGTGAGCAACGATCCACGTCAAGGTACGATGACATGGCATCAATAAAGTCACTGAGTCTGACCATCCAATCCCATAAGTCACCTCTTTCAACTGGCATAGGTTGCTAGGCACCAATGCTAACCTGGAATACCCACGGGGGGCAGGATTTCATGACCTGTATCAAACCCACAAACATGAGGGATTAAGATTAACCAACTGTCATGGCAAAGAGACTCAAGGCTAGCAACGTTATTGTATATGTCATAATGGTAAGAGTCACTTATTGGTGAAAGCTACCGCAATTATTCTTTAGGTTGGAACCAGTAATTCTGAAGAGAAAGGCCAATAAAAGACAGCAATATTAATAAGCACTTTGAAATCAGACCGTTTGCTCTGATTTCGATACGGAGAGAGATATTGAACCTGGACAACAGATCAGACATCAAGAGTTCACAATTAATTCAATTTCAAACAATGCTTATCAATGATGTTAACCTACTCCAAAACAAAATGTTAATTTCCATAAGAAACTTGTACACAATCGCTTCAGTAAAACCGATTGCCTTTCACAATTCAGCAAAACAACAAAACAGAAGCACTATACATAAAAACAGCAGTTTATGATAAATTCGAACATATTCTCACAATATATATAATATATATGTACACATGAAAATTATAAATATACAACTTTTAATATAATTACAAACATAATCAAGATACAGTCACCTCTTCCATGATAGGAACAAAATTTGGGCCACAAAAAGTAAATGTCATGCAAAGTATACTCATATACTCATAATTCAAGAAATAAAATTAAATGAACAAATTGTGTTTACATTTTTTTTTATGGCAGTATTGGCCTTATGTTTTTTGCACGTTTCAATACTTAATTATTTAATCTTCACATTTAGTCGTTCGCAACGTTCCTGTACAAGTTGAGTGACAATATTACTCCCACATGACTCAATCTCATTAAAATCATATCTAAGTTCTCGCTGCCGCTAAACAAAGATCTCAGGACATCCCATTCCGGGTCACGTCACACCGACCTTGCACGAACTTTGACCGACCAATGGAATGACCAATCAGAAGGCAGGTTTCTCTTGTTTCACTAATATAAAATTTGGCGACTATGCTTTGAAACATATTTTGACAAATTCTCGATTACAAATTTGAAACCTGAACAAAAGAACATTCTGGAATGGCTAACACATAGTCTAGATTGTATGGATTCAGTCGTTAAACTCGTCACTATCGTTCAGAATACCCCGTGTTAAAGTTTTCGAGGTTGCATGATTAGAAATCACATTCTGCCTGTCACTTTCATAATCTGGTAAGCGACGGTGTGATTGGTCGGATGAAAGGTCGTTCTGACATGACCCCTAATGGGATGTCTTCAGATCTTTGTTTAGCGGTAGCGAGAACTAAGGTCTGATTTTAATGAGATTGCACTTGACTTTAAACATAATGTCACTTTATATCATGGCGTGGCAGTGTTTATCTCACTGGCAAAATCCATGACCACGGGCAAGGTGCTTAAACCTGGTGAAAGACGACTGGACCTGTGACTGAGACCAATGATTTGTGGATCCAGGCCAGACTAAGGGATGCAACTCTGCACAACCTAATTACAGTGCTTTCAGTCACTGGGCTTCCAATGGCCCACAACCATAAAGCATATTTGATTTAACTCTAAAAGAGATTTCTCAGAGGGAGATCACTGATTGTGATCTCAGTGTTTGCGACCCAACTCAATACAGCATAATCAAGCATCCTACTGCTGCAATGAAGGCTGGTTCACTGTAGTGTTTGCACTGCGTCATGTTTAGAGATAAATTAAAGTTTGCAGTTATCTTTTCTGGAATCCATGTTTATCAGACTGGTATTTGGAATTCACTTTGGTTGAGGGTCTTCACATAGATGCCAGATGCTGAGATTTATTTTCTAACATAAAACTCAAATAAAACATAACATTTGATATTACACTGCTGTGAACATAACACTTGATATTTCACTGCTGTGAACATAACACTTGATATTTCACTGCTGTGAACATAACACTTGATATTTCACTGCTGTGAACATAACACTTGATATTTCACTGCTGTGAACATAACACTTTGACAGAACTATTGTCATACAAGAGTTACGTCCCCTTAAATTGTCTCACTTTATTGTATGGCACAAACTGCTGCCTTCCTTTTTACTTTAGTTCCACATTGACAAGGCAAATTAATTACAGATGGTCATTTATGGAGTTAATATCGCTTCTTGCTGTTTATTCTCTTGAAAATGTTTCCTTAATAAACTGTAATTTCTCATTTAACTCGTAAATCGAGACAGTTTGTTGCGCAAAGCCCCATTTTCGTTACTTGACCAGTGTGTATTCTTAAGCTTCCAACAGCCGTCTCATAGCTTTCTAGAATAGTTTTTGTTGAAGTTGATTTAGTATATAATCAGATCTAAATGTATGATAAAGAATTTTAGTGACCCTGTTTGCAAACACTGAACTACCTTACTGACTTTTTCAATATAATTACGACACCTGTCATGTTATATTATTGAATATCTGCAAGTACCGGCACAGTCTTGCAGTCCGACTTCGCTGTGTGTCTTTGCCTTTCACTTCCTGGTTCGGCTTATCTACTGTCATTTCATGTTTCAAGGGTCAAATTAATACCTCGGCTTATCTGCGGTCATATACTGTACTTTTCAAGTCTCAATTACAAGGGGTTGTGAAACCTGAATGTCAGGTGGAGAGAGTTCACGTTTCATGGTTTTACATTTGAAAAGAAATAATTTAATTTCTGGGAGATGCCTTAGAGTGACAGATAACCTAATGCTGAACATGTCCTCACGCATGAAGCAAACCACATTCCTATACACCGGTATGCGGAATACACTGCTCACTGGCCCCAGGGCGAGTAGGGTGAGTAGGGCAACCCCACCGGCCACACCTCTGATCTATATGACAGGAGTGTTTACATCAAGCTGCTGAAACACAGTGATCACAAGCACAAACATTATACAAGCACAACAAAATATAACAATGTTGCTACAGGAAGAGATGTTGAAAAGATAAATATTTTTATTTTGTCACATTTTCATTTTTATTTTGTTTTGAATCCTGTGACATTTCAGTCTTGACAATAAACTCATCACCATTGCCCATAAAGCATTCTCCTTCATTACCTCCGCTGTGGGAAACCAGGGGAGAACAGGCTGTCACAGACTAACGCTTAGTCCATAAAAAAAATATAACCATGAAAGAAACAAATAACTCCATTTATATTTCAAAGGAGCCAAGTGAAATGGGTGATTCAGAAAATGTAGAAAATCTAGACTTACTTTATTTAGGGCATAAGCATTACAGAAAGGCCTGAGAGGAAGGGAAATAATATGGTTCAGGGACTGTGAGACAGGCTAAGGTTGATGTTCGACAACAGAGCGGACTAAAATGAGGATTGAGTGACGGACTTTGAGCCATCATCGCCCGATGGCATGGATGTGTTGTTGCTCATGGTATTAAACACAGATTTGCCATGTTCATATGTCTGCTAAAAATTCCACAATCTGACAGACTCAAGACCTGAAATAGTTCATATAAATGCCTACTATAATAGCCTACATATAAATGCCTACTATAATAGCCTACATATAAATGAATCAGGGTGATCGTAATTCATGCTGCTGAGAAGATTGAAATAAATCACCAACCGGTGGTTAATAGCACGAACCTCTATTCCTACAGCTGGGTACAAAGCTACGCTAGGACCTGCATCACACAGAAATTCGGCTGAGCTATGGATAAATGTAAATAGTCCTATTCCAACCGGTACAAGTTCTTCAAATACTTGATAATCTAGATCTGATTTTACCTGTGAATGTCTAGGTGATATGAAGACTGACAACACTGAGTCTAAGGGGTATACATGTATATATATCCTTGTATTCTACAGTTTCTATTTTTCATATTTCATAGATCATTATGAAGTCAAATATGAAATCTGATCACCTGAAATTCACATATGTCCAAGTTTACCAATTCAAAAAGAAATTTCATAACATTCTATTTCAACTTAATCAGAAAATATGGAAGTCAAATTTAGTTAAATTGAGATTAATTTTTTTTAATCAAAGTCAGAAAATATACATGTCAATTTTGAATTATCATAAAATTCTGATTAATTTGTTAAATATGGAAGGGTGATATTATCCAAAACATAGAATACTGAGGACAAGTCTCAGGAAATCAGACTACAAAGACATGTCTGAAGTATTCAGACGTTTATTTCAACATGTTCAAAAGCCTTGTAAGGATTGACTACAGTTTTTTCATCACCTGTCTAACACACCTCACATCAACGCCAGAGAGGATAGATCAGGTTTCAGATTAACTTTATAGTTACAACATTGACAACTCATGGAAAGACTATCACAAACATCCTGATTAACACCTCGATGAAACCTACATTAGAATCCTAACTGCATCCTAATCTGAATGTCTCATCCTTGAAATTAATCCACAAAGTCATACCTATACTCATCCTCCCGAGGCAAGGGAGATAACTGACTTTAAAAGTTCAGTTCCCACCCTTGTGAAACAAGGCTTGAATTTCTAGGCTCGATCGAAGAGCCACCAGTGGCTATTACAAATTATTTCCCTTCTATGTTCCTCCTGTTGACCAATCAGATCCACTTCTCAGATCACTTGCATTTGCTTCAAACAAAATGGCGGCACCCAGTCAAAACAATCTGATCAATAATCAAGATCTTTATTGTAATAAAACAAGCCTTACCCCACAAAGTGCATCAAATCACTTGACCACCTTGATTAAAAAGATGAAAAGATTGGAATATATCTGTTGACATCAAGATGACAGTACAGATGCTTTGCAAATCCTGCAGTCGACCGAAATCTCCACGTTGAAATGCATGTTGTTTACGAACTGGATGTCTACTTCGTTGCGTGATTTTGATTGAACTATGCACAGACTCACTCGTCACGCCGTTAGTAACACCCCAATTCCAGCCTAGTTCGGAAGGGTGGGAACTGGACTTTTATGGTCAGTTAACGCCTTACCTCATGAAAATGACCTATACCAAAATGTTATAAACAGTCAATTGTGTAACAGATTAATGGGAATTGTGCAGACAAAAGTGTGACGAAATGTCAATAAAACCACCACTACACCTTGATGACCTGGTCAGTAACTAAGATACTACACAATCTGCCAGCCAAATGCTGTAACTGATGATGCTAATAACAATGTGAAATGTACAACCGCTATGTACATCTATGTTGATGATGGTGTGTGACACGATGACATGTTCACTAGACGTGAACGCTACACTGCTGTGGACGTTCCCTGATGAACGTAGATTCACTTCATATATACAATGGATTGGGAGAAGGGAAGTAACTCTTTACTGTCATCAAAACTGCACCCATGGGCCTCCTCCTCCCTCGTTGCTGGAATTACTGTTTTGACTCTGTCCAAAACTGGAACATAAATTAAGGATGATATTAATATTAACAAGCATGAAATACTCACATCCCCCGCCAATATGACATGTCGGGTGTGTGCAATGCATTAGCTCCTGTGAACTATGTTCACTGGGCCTTTTGGTAAAGAAATATAGTACGGTTTTCAAGATTTGCTCCGGAAACGAGGACTACCGGCATTTTCAGTCTAAATCAAAGTCGTTGCCATGGAAACTCAAAAAATAATTTTTTTTTTAAATCTCATACTATCAAAAGGCACCAGTTCACCACTAGATCTATCTATGTGCCAAGTTTGGTGAAGAAATATGGTACGGTTTTCAAGATCTGCTCCGGAAACGAGGACTACCGCCATTTTCAGTCTAAATCACAGTCGTTGCCATGGAAACTCGAAAAATAATTTTTACCCAGCGTCATAGACATAGATGAATCTTTTCTTTTATTATAACTGATCAAATAAATTTTGGTGTCATGCTGATCGGCCATTTTGTTTCAACTGCTCATTAATGTTGTTGTTTGTGATGAGGCCCTAGCAATGTGACATCAGATGAACACATCATCACAAATATTAGAAGATGATGATGATTTGACCCCTATTGAAGTAATGTTGAAATTCCTCGCCAAAGCTCAGAACATAGAGCATTTATTCACTGACAGCGAGATTGCGAAAATGAGTCCATGTTTGAACGTTGCAATATGTCTGTCAGCCATTACAGAATTATGATGATTATTATGATTGCCTGTAAAGAATCAAGACTGGCTAAAAATTGCGCCTACCTCTATAGAATGCTCACTTTTTCAGTTGAAAGTTCGACTCAGTTGTGTAGATTTGAAAAATACCTTTTTGAGAAATATTCTCTAAATTCAGACAAGCAGACATCCTTAATGTGGGACGAAATACAGAGGACATATCTCGACAGTGGATACCATATGTATCGAAAAAACATTTCCTTCATCAAAGGAAATTAATTTCGGCAGATATAAGTCAATTTCTGAAACAGTGGCTGACACCTTACAAGATATTTTGCAGTAAACTGCTGGGCAAAAGACACTTGAAAATTGGATTTGACAAAAAATTAAAAAGTTCTCAAAATGTTACTAGGCTGAAAACAGTTGCTGAAACAATGCAAATTTAAGGTTCAAAACACAAATTACTATGATACCTGTATCAAACACATCACCATTAAATAACCATTTCTTGTTGGTTTCATTTTAGCCACCAACTAACATGGGTGTATACTTTCCTCTGTCAAGCAGTTGTTGTTTTTTTATCTGCATCCTATATCTTTATGCCTTTGTATCATTTTGTATCGATACATGACTGTACTGTGTGATATGCATTGTGTTTACAGCATATCATTATGCAAGGACTGGTAAGTGAAGAGCTCCACTCCACACATCAAGACATTTATCACTTCGGTTGATGACATCTTCCCAAGGCAAGGGAGGTAACTCACTATAAAAGTCTTGTTTCCCCCCATCCATTAACTAGTCCAGAATAATGAACTCATATTTTTGCTGGACAAACGAGTCGTGCAGATTTGGGTCAATTGCAGGATTTGCACAGCATGTGTACCGTTGACTGGGCATCTAGACATCTTTTCAAAATCTTTTCATGTTTGTAATCAAGAAGTTCAAGTAATTTGATGTACTTCACAAGGTAAGACCTGTTTTTTTACAATAAAGATCTTGATTATCGATCACATCGTCTTAAATGGGCACGCCATTTTGTTTTAACCAAAAGCATGTGAGACAAGATGTGAAATCTGATTGGTCAATAGGAGGGACATAACTCGTAGTAACCACTGGTGGCGCTACGATAGAGCCACTTAATTCCAGCCCAGTTCAGCAAGTGTGGAAACTGGACTTTTATAGTCAGTTGACTCCCTTGCCTCAGAAAGATGGTTTGTAATGATGATGTTGGAGACTTAACAAGCGCTTCCGGAGGAGCTGTTTCGCACATGATATGGGAAAACACAATTATCACTGTGGGAAAACACACAAACAGGGGTATGGATCATAATCCCGTTGAGTATGGTTTTCAAAAAGGGGTCAAATTGGGTTGTCTTAGACAACTGGGAGAATTGTACCCCCCAATTTGTCATGTGAGTACTTACTCTGCGCTAGTGAAGTCCCCCCACAAGTCGGGTGTGGCCTTCTTCGTGGGCTGGGCAGGTTGTAATGGCGCCAACGCTGGTGCCCCTCCAATGTCCAGCACCAGGTCCAAATTCTGAGTTCCACTAGCTGGTTGGTCCACTGGTTGGGCCACTGGCTGTGCAGCCTGAGGTGGTGCCTGTACACTGACGCCACCTGGTGGTGGCAACTTCACTCCCCCTGGTGGCGGAGGGAGTAAACCTATTGCTCCCCCTGCTTTTGCTCTTGGTCTGGCCTTGGCAGCACCATCTCTCTTTGACTGTAATGTTGGGAGAGTTAGATTGAGGAGAGTTAGATTGAGGAGAGTTAGATTGAGGAGAGTTAGAGGACATGATAATGGTGGGAGACAATTTTAACTTGAATTTTCACACCTGTTTGTCAGCGACCAACATGCTAAATGTCCCAACTAAAGGATCCAGATGAAATCCTCATCAGAAAAAAATAATATATTCAGTTATAACATGGCATCTTGGCCTATTGTTGAAAGAGAGACCACAGACTCAGGTTGCAGATATTTACAATTCCCAAGTTGGGGTTTAGTGTCAGACCATGGAGCATTATCAGGGTTAAAAACAGCACTGACCGAGCCAAGAGGACCCTCAGATGTGGAGATGCAATTCTGCCCATGTCACTGTGGCACCTTAGATTGCATGGCACCTCAGCTCTCCATGACGACAAGGGATTGGTATTGGAGGTTTAAAGCGTACCACAATATTTTACAATGCACGAGATCGTATTGCGATACGTATCACCATATACTGTACAATTCTAGATTTTGATTTCATCAGCAATTTAAAACACCAGCATATGAATGAGATGAGGTGAAAAGGGGTTTAACATCACCTCCAAGATTATTGCACTTACATAGTGACGTGCATGCATGTTTGGTGTGTGTGTGGCTGATTGTACTAGCCTGGACTGATGCAGGTGCTCTACCACGAGACCACTAAGGCGGCCAGTATATAAATGAGTGTTGAATTGAAGTTTATAAATGGAACAAAACAAGATGCTGGTACAACAAAAGGTTCGCTCATTTTAAAAAAACCTGCAGAGATTCATGCTCCAGGTATTTGGCAAGCATATAACATTAAACACAGGATAAAATCTACATGATATTGCCCAATATAACCAGCCTTAAAATATGATATTGCCATTTTTGTGATATGAATAGTGGAAGGAATGAACCTCGATTAACCAGTATTGCAGTAATACCGCCCACCGTAAATGACTACTGTTGCTTTACGGCTGAAATACTGCTGATTCCGTGTTAAGTTTGAACTCACTCCAAGACTAGAGGTTGCTGACAGAGTACTGACCCCGATATTGAGTGTAATGGTCTGCCCCTCCTTGAAGCCAAGATCCAGTTTAGGTCCACTGTCTAAAGTAGCTGCACTCTTCTCAGCCTCTGCTTCTTGCTTCAGCCATCTGCAGATACACACAACCAACAACTGCAACACTTCATACTGAGATGTGACCATGCTTTGGCCTCTCACTGATTCTCAAAGAAACAAAAAACATGGGCCATGGAGTGAGTGAGTGAGTGTGGTTTTACGCCGCTTTTAGCAATATTCCAGCAATATCACGGCGGGGGACACCAGAAATGGGCTTCACACATTGTACCCACGTCGGGAATTGAACCCGGGTCTTCGGCATGTCGAGGTAACGCTTTAGCCACCAGGCTACCCGACCGCCCCCATGGGCCATGGAAACCTGTGAGTGAAAACATGGCCAGAGACCCATGCAATGAGGGCACGATGACAATCAATCCGCCAAGTTACCGCATCCTCCCAAGGCAAGGATGGTAACTGGCTCAAAAAGTACAGTTTCACCCTTGCCGAACTACGCTGAAATGTCGTGGCTTGATCATCATGCCACCAGTGGCCATTACCAGTTATCGATGTTACGGCCCTTCTATGTCCCTCTTACTGATTAATCAGAATCCACCTCTCAAATCACTTGTATTTGCTTCAAACAAAATGGCAGATGATGTGATTGATAATCAAGACCTAATCAAGACCTATATTGTAATAATATGGGTCTTACCCCCGCGAAGTGCATCAAAAAATCCCTTAAGCACCTTGATTAAAAACATCAAAAGTTTTGTGAAATATCTGTCAACGTCCAGTTGACATGGTTGACATCTTTTGCATATCCTGCAGTCAATCAAAATCTCCCCCTTGAAATCCATCGTGTTTACAAACCAGACATCTAGTATGTTGGGCTATTTTTATAGGACACTATGCATAGACTCGTTAGTCCAGCCAAAATGTAAATCAAGGGTAGGAAACTGGAATTTTACTCCCTTGCCTCGGGAAGATGAGTGACCACGGGACTGATCACCCAATCAACTTAGTCACCTCCTAAGTCTTTCCATGCTGACACTGACACAGTGCTTCAGTTTAATTAGTGTGTCATCAAGAAAAGACTCCGCCTACCATTGGTGCAAATGTTGCACAATGGTATTGTTAGGGTTAGGGAACAGTTTGGGTATTGGACTCAAACACGGTAACCTTAAAAATAACAGTTCACTCACTTGAAGTGGTCCTGAAGTGAGACATTGAGATCAAAGGAATCTGCGCGGTCTTGAAACCCAATACCAATGAATGCACTGCGGCCTGTAATAGAAATCCAGATTACCTTGGAATGATTACACAAGACAAGGCTTCAACACTAACAACATCAGGATCAAGCAGGAATATTTTCGCTCACATCAACATGGTTTAGACACCCAGGACAATCTACACAATATTGGATTTGATTATTACTAAGCATTCTGGTAAATATAATAAGACAACAAATTTGAAAGGATTTTTGGTTAGGTGAACTAATTAAAAAATATACCGGTAATAAAAATGTGTTTTAATCATGTGGGTATTACATAACTTCCCAATAGGCACATTTGGACTGTTCATTGTGAACAGAAAGTATATTCTGTATGTGTCACTGGTGGGGATCTCTAAATATGTAATTACAAGAAACACTTCACATTTGATATTCTAAGGATGATTAGGTCATCTATTTGAATGTATCAATAATGTCTATCAACAAAAAGATGATACCAAGGTGATGGAGGACCAAATCGGTTTACACAGTTTTACCTTGATCATCCTTGATCATGAGGACGAAGTAGCGACTTGAGTCCATGACTGCCTCCACGGCAATGCTCGGGTACGTCTCGACGGGACATTCCGCAAACAGTTCACCTGCACAGTAACAGCATAGAATGAAGGATACCAAAGATGACATCGGCTCGCAGACACAGACACTGACACAGACACAGACACAGACACAGACACAGGTTCTTCAGGATGTGCTCTGGATCCACTTGTAGAAAGAGATCTTAGTGCTACGACTATCGTAAGTCAATGTTAACCTTTAGCCTGCTGAAATGGTTTAGCATAAGGCGCTGTAAAGAGGGTGGCCAATACTTTCTAAACCTGCGATGTTTTCTTTTTGAGGTAAATAAACTTCTGAAAGTTTTGATATTTCCATGCTGAGCATTTATGCATACCATACATAACTTAAATGATACGCAAAGCCTACTCGTTAAACAGTTATTGTAAATTTCATTGGCAGGTGTCTTTTGATTATGTGCTGTCGAATTGGGTTCGACAGAAGTATTGAGAGCATTGAAATATGGGAATTAGGATCGTTGTAGCGTGAAGGTCTCTTTGTGTAAGTGGCCCTTGGTCAATATTAATTGGATTAAGTGATTTATCTCCTCTTATAATACAAATGTTTGTTTGTTTGTTTGTTGTTTAACGCCGCACTCAGCAATGTTCCAGCTATATGACGGCGGTCTGTAAATAATCAAGTCTAATAATCCAGTGATTGACATCATGAGCATCGATCCACGCAATTGGGATCAATGACATGTATCAACCAAGTCAGCGAGCCTGACCACCCGATCCCGTTAGTCGCCTTTTACGACAAGCATAGTCGCCTTTTACGGCAAGTATGGGTTACTGAAGACCTATTCTACCCCGGAATCTTCTCGGGTCTATAATACAAATGCAGCTTCCTATTACGCTGTACCCATACCCTAAAGCACACTCATGCAGCTACACAAGGATCATCCCGGGCCTGTGGTCAGTGTACTCAAACTACATTCTAACTTCCCTGGGACATATACATCCCAAACGGCTTTTTAGGTGCTATAAGACCTTGCATAAAGATTACCGTCTCGTCCAACTGGGCACCCATTGGCAGCTGAGTTAACACTATAAGTTATAACAGAGGCATATCTTGATCAAAGTCAGTTGCCTAAAGAACCACCACATGCTCAATAACCTGTGTTTCAGTGTGGGTCAGGACTGAAGTCCTAGAAACTGTCAGGAAACTGCCTATTGTCACACATCCAACCACTGCTAGTCATCACTGTTGCTAAACTTCACCTGACGGCCGGCCATGTGCACTATACAGAGGATCCTGTGCCACCACATTTTTTAAATCTAGATAATTTTATCATGCTAATCGGGCACCATATATTGCCTTAGCCATAGAGCAGGGACTCACATGTTATTATTAACAATTGGTATTGATAGTTTTCTTTGGGTATTTAATATATTTTTCTCATGGACCCAGTCCTAGTATTTTTAACTAATATATACATCTTTTCTAAAATAATCAATTCTGTCTAAAATGTTGTTTCAGGTGAATTCTAATTTGCCTCGGCATTTGTGCTGTCCCAAGTCTGTCTGACTGTAACATAAGCTCACAACAGCAGTACAGGTCCAAGTGACAACCACGGCACATAAATTTCACTGCAGTAAAGGTGATGACTACATGACACCTTAATTCAATCAACAAATAAAAATCTGTTAAGACAAACAGGTAAACAAGCTGAAAAAGGCAAGATTGTGTTGTCCCTGCTCAGCGTTGTCCCTACTCAGTGTTGTCCCATGCTATTGTTTTGTTGTTGCAAATTTCATTCATATTTTTACTCATGGGAAATGGTGATTTATTTTGCATATTTTACGAAATATTTGAAGCTGTGTTAATCTGCCTGTCATAATGGTATCCTGAATTACTCCTTCATGCATTTACTGCTTACTTTTGACAGAAAACAAAGCTGAGAGTCTAGCTGAGAAAGAAGTTGTTTCACAGAAGAGTGAGGCAGGACCTAACAGGTGAGACCTTGGGACCCGGATGTGATGACGTCACGTAAACTCCATATTTACAAATTTCCATCAATTCCATTGTGCTGTGAAGTCCCACAGATGATCTTATCAGGTGAGGTGAAATGGGGTTAAACGCCACGTCCAAGATTATTGCACTTACATAGCGAAGTGCATGCACATGTGTGAGAATGCGTGGCTGCTTGTGCTAGTCAGGACTCATACCGATTTTATAGTGCTAGCTCACTGAGATACCATTCCGCAGTTTAACATGAATAACCCACTCAGACAAAGCATACTGACTCCGAGCCGACCAATCCTTGTTTTAGCACCTTAATGCTGAGCATCAGGCAGGTTAACAACAAGTACCATCTTTTAACAGTTTTTAGTATGAGCGTCATACTATGACGTGCCAGGGATCGAACCCTGGACCTTCCACACTCCGGGCAGACACACTACCACTGAACCGCTGATGCGGTTGATGATGTCATCAAATTTATGACAAGTGTAGGACATCATGCAACGAGATAAACAAGCTCAGAATGCAGTGATGTCACATCCTTAAAACGTTGTTTCATTGTCATGAGTATAAAGATGATTAACATGACTTAATCACTTGAGCAGCTGTTAAATTTGTTCACTCAATGCTGTATCTGAGTTTCAATCCATAATAATCAGCTGCCACATTTAATACTGGCAATGGGTTAACATAAAATATGTTAGACTACTCCCATACACACAACACAGGGATTTATGGGATGCAAAACCCTGCATTCTATACCCATACAAATTGAAAATTGAAAATGCATGCAAGAAAATATAGAGCACATCCACTGGGATGCAAAAAATGTGTATGCATGCTCAGGAATTATGCTGCTATTTCATAATTTGGTTGCACTTAAATTTGATTTCTGTGCATTAAAAAACTACCACACACAGTCAAAAGCTTCACAATCTTCTAACTCAAGCAAATTCAGGTTTGTTTCAGTTGGGGCGTGCCCTATCTTTTTTTAACCAACAACCTTTGAACTTGCACAATCTTACACCATTTGTGGTTGAGTACTGAATTCAATTTTGGACATTTCCCTGGACCATAAAATATACAAGCATAAAATACTCATATCCCCCGCCAATATGACATGTGTGACTGTGTGCAAGCCATCAGCCCCTGTGAATCACAATCGCAAGCACTATACTATGTTTCTTGCCATCTGCAGTTAATGATTGAATATGTAAATGTATTTCTGATGAGTAGTGTTATTACTTAAACAAAAATTCTTTTTAAAAAACTATCAAAAGGCACCAGTTCATCACTAGACCTATCTATGTGCCAAGTTTGGTGAAGAAATATTGTCTGGTTATCAAGATCTGCTCCAGAAAGGAGCCTTACCACCATTTTCAGTCTAAGTCAAAGCCATGGAAACTCAAAAAAATAATGTTTTCAAAAATCCCAAACTATCAAAAGACACCAGTTCACCACTAGACCTACATATATGCCAAGTTTGGTTCTGCTCCGGAAATGAAACGGACAGCACCCATTCCCATCTCCACCTTCCATTTTGTGGAAGGGAATCTTACATGGTAAATAGCTAATGACAGGAGAAGTTGTGCATGGGCTAGAAAACATAGCTGCCTATCTCATTACAAGTCAAGTCAGAACAACTTTTCGCGAACTCTGACCAACCAATGAAATCTCCAACAAGAAGTCAACATTAGACAATCTAAAAGCAGTTTCCTCAAACGACGTTGGTTTCAAACTGGAGACTTCCATTCCAGACAATGTTTGGAAAGATATCAATTCAAAATTTGAAAAATGAACAAAAGAAAATTCATCAATGTATAACAGATGACTGAGATTGCAAGGCAGTGCCTCCCACGGGCTATGGCATGTATGGAAAGTCTCTCCCCTTTCAACATGTTTGTCGGGGCGGTCGGGTAGCCTAGTGGTTAAAGCGTTCGCTCGTCACGCCGAAGACCCGGGTTCGATTCCCGACATGGGTACAATGTGTGAAGCCCATTTCTGGTGTCCTCCGCCGTGATATTGCTGGAATATCGCTAAAAGCGGCGTAAAACCATACTCACTCACTCACTCAACATGTTTGTCCCATTGAAGCAAGAGATAGATGAAGATTTTGACAGATTCAGCCTAATGTCAGATTATAATGATATTGCTGAAGACATCCATCTTCCCGAAGCAACGGAGTTTACTTGCCAAACTAGGCTGGAATTTGTGGGCTCGATCGCAGCTCCACCAGTGGCTATTACGAGTTATGTCCCTTCTATGTCCCCAATCTTCCCGAGGCAAGAGAGTTTACTGACTTTTAAAGACCAGTTTCCACCCTTGCCAAACAAGGTGGGAATTCCTGGGCTCGATCGTAGGACCACCAGTGGTTATTACGAGTTACTTCCCTTTTAAACCTTTCCTATGGACCAATCGGATTCCACCTCTCGTATCACTTGCATTTGTTTCAAACAAAATGGGGACGCCCAGTCAAGACCATCTGATCGATAATCAAGATCTATAATGTGATAAAAAGCGTATCAAATCATGTGAGCACCTTGATTAAAAGCATGAAAATATTTGGAAAATATCTGTTGACAACAAGTTGGCCGTGCACATGCTTTGCAAATCCTGCAATCGACTGAAATCAGCACAACAGTTTACGAACCGGATTACAATTTCGTTGCGAATTTTGGTTGGACTATGCATAGCCTCTTTAGCATGTTTAGTCCAGCCAAAATGTAACTCCATAATACCAGCTTAGTTCAGCAAGGGTGGAAACTGGACTTAAATAGTCAGTTGACTCTCTTGACTCAGGCAGATGATGTCCCCCCTACTGACCAATCAGATTCCACCTCTCATATTACTTGCGTTTGCTTCAAACAAAATGGTGTTGCCCTGTCAAGACAATCTCAAAGATAATCAAGATCTTTATTGTAATAAACCGGGTTTTACCTCATGAAGTGCATCAAATCACTTGAGCATCTTGATTATAAACATTAAAAGATTTGGAAAATATATATTGATGCCCAATTGACGGAACACTTGCTCTGCAAATCCGGCAATCGAACGATTTCAGCACGGCAGTTGCCATGTTGTTTATGAACCGGATGTCTATTTCATTACATAATTTGGATTGAACTATGCTTAGACTTGTTACTCCAGCCAAAATATAACTCCATAATTCCAGCACTACTTCGGCAAGAGCAGAAACTGAACTTTAAAGTCAGTTAACTCCCTTGCCTAGTGAAGACTGCAGACATCAAAATTGTAGTTCTTTTTTTCTTTAATTTCAATGCTAAAATTTCCACGATGAAATACATATAGATTAGATTACTTTGTCAATATGTCAAGAAGGGAGTTTACAACACATCACAACAACATAAAACATTATGTCCAAACATACCTGAATTTTTATCTTCCAGTTTAATAGACAGAGTCTTGCCCCTTGCCACAACCCTCAGTCGGCCGGTCCAATCTGGCTGATCCAGCTTCCAGTCAGCAGCTCTGCAAATAAACATGGTGGTTGAGGTGTGTACAGTGTTAGGAAGTCATGATAGTTAGGGGGGGCACGGGTGGCCCAGTCGTCTAAGGCGCCACAATTCGCTGTGCAGAGTTGCGTCCCTTGGGCACGCCAGAAACTTATGATCGTGGGTGCGAATCCTGGTTCGCCTCGATTATGTTACTAGGTTTGTCAGCACCATACCCGTGCTCGTGGGTTTCACCGAAGTGGTAAACGTCTAAGACCTGCATCACTTCGGACTTTCCTCCAACATTAAGTTGACACGCCGTGATATAACTGGAATAGTGTTAAAAGCGGCGTTAAACCCAACTCACTCACTCACTCATGATAGTCAGCAAATTTTGCAAATAATCAGTTAACAATGGGGGATGATTAGAACATTTTAAAAAAACATTCTTTTGGAAAGGCGAATATTTGTTGGATTTCTTTACACACTGCAGCCTCAAGTTTTCACTGGTTGGCCTGTTTCATCAGGTTTCCTTCCGTGACAATGTGGTGTTTTCAGATCTTTACATTGATGTGAATTAACACTTTGACAAAAGAAAATATAAGTGTATGTCTGGTTTCCAGATAGACTCAAATCCAGAAACCTGACAGTGAATGCTTTTTTTCTGGAGTTGCACACTCTTATAAACATTTCATCGTTGTCCATATCTTATGCAACTACAGGGGTAGATTTGACAACACATTGATATTCGTATGTAGCCAGCAGTGCTTGCTCCATTTAGAAGTTACTGGTCCTTCTCCAAACTAACTGGCCCAAAACTAAATGTTGGAAGCGACAACTGAGTTTTCCAGGGGGCTCCGAACATGTAAGAGCCCTTCACCCCTAACATCATTTCCTGCACTCTGAGATTAAATCTTGGATTCCATTTGCCTCATTTCATGGAGATTTTATGAGCAAGTTAAGATATTGTTATTGTACAGAACAGTACAAAATGGCCTCCGGTTGTGTCATCTACCAAGATGATCTTGGAGTTAACCATTCACACGACCTCATCCCCACTAAATATTTTCTCATCGAAATAACATGATTCACAAGCCATGTCCAATTAAAAAACTTAAACATACACAGAGAAGGGGTGTATTTAATAACAATAATTTCAACAACTTTTTTTTTTTTAAATATCTTAATTTCAAAGACTAGATGTTAGTCTACCCTAGGCCCTATAGCCCATATATTTGATCAGTAGTTACTGTGGCTACAGCAACATGCAGCAAGCCATCCATGAATATAGCCATTATAGGGTCCCTTGTTTTGGCTTCATCTTGCAAGAATGATCTCAATTCAGGGGTTCAGATCAGTTCATTTTCTGGGACACTGACTTATAGTCATCCAAATTTCCACATAGGGTAATGATTCAGAAACATGCCCTTTCCAAAGTTGATGAAGTCATGGTTACATATTGCCATTTGTCACCGGCAAAATAACTGGATCTACCTTTAAGTTACATAAAACTGTGTTTCGTGAATTGTATGGTCATATAGGTATCTCTCATATTCGCTAATAAATTAGACTTGAGAGAACGCGTTGTTAAACTGTAGAGGAATTTCATGCTGAACGTTCCATCGCAGTAACTCCCCTTGAGTCAGCCTAATTATATGAAGCACCTAGACATGGTTTCACATTTTCAACGTGTTTCGATGGCCTCAAATGTTAGTTCGCAGCTTACTGCTTTACAATTTCGCTTTTGAAAAAAAGAATACAAAATGATGTTATTGTTTTCATTGAAGATACGCACTGTATTTCCATAGTTACTCCCCATTTTGACGAGGTTACAAGCCTTGTCGGGACCTTTGCGGTCTCACTCAATCATTCGTTTGGAATGAAAGAACTATGAGATACATTAACAATCGGACACTGACTTTGACAAGTGGGTCGAGAAATGTGCATAAAACAAACCTGTATCCTCTGTTGGAGGTTCTAGGGGGTATTCGGTACACGAACACCTCATTTTTTACACACAACACACTATCATACTCGGCATTCGACATGTTGGATCCGCTGATGTGGAAAGTGAGCTAGCTTTACTTGTTGGGATTTACGTAAACTCGTTTATCCATACTATGAAATTAGACTGGTTTTGTGGTAATGGTTTAGCGAGGGGAGCAAAAGGGGGCGTGACACGGCATTTAATAATATGATTTGCAAACTAATTATGATTAAGCTTCCATTTCAGTTTACTGATTACGTTTATATTGTCATTTTTACAAATCTTTGGATCACAGCGGTAATTATGATAATGTGTTTGTCTCATCCGACTCGACACCTTTAAACACATGTTCAGGGTTATTTAAGTTTTAAAAAAGGAAGTATTTACAGGAATTGAAATGTCAATACAAATCGCGGAACGAAGCCTTAAATGAACTAAGGATAGACCAAAATTAAAGATTTGAAGTGGTAGCTTGATTACTATATATATGGTCTAAATAGCCTGAGTTTTGTATGGTCAGAAATATAACAACAAATCATATTTGTTGTCGATGTTGACATAATCACCGTTGTTTGTTTTCAGCAGCCCAGCAACAGCGTTAATTTTTGTTGTTGTTTTTTTAAAAATATGTCATTATAACCCGTAGTTAGCTTTTAATTTCATAATCACTTATTAACAAATTAATAACTTTTAGTTCGGAGGGTAGGTTCAAATGTCACAAGTTCAAAACTATTATGAAACACGTAATCAATAAATTCTAATGAATAGATTTGTCACACACAATACACATAAAAAGTATCTCCCCAAAAGATTGACATGCCTTTTGATCTCCTGAATGCATACATATCCCGTCTCATGTCGCCAGCAGTTTGTTATAATAAAACATATACAATCACAGAATCATTGTCATGCCAGGAACAATACTTCACGCACAATGTTATTCATATTTATATATTACAATAGACAGAAAGAAACAATAAACACTGTGCTCTTCCCACAAGAGCTATTTAGTCCCTGAGCTAGTTCAATCATTGCCTTTCGTCATCGATTACAGTGTCTGCATGAGTGTGACGTATCTATAACTGCGGATGACGTCAACTATTTATTAGAAATAATATGTTATCATTATTCTTTTCTATGATCCACAACACCAATACATATGACAAAAGGAGAAATTATTAGACAAAATAACTGAAATATTGTTTGAAAAGACAGTGTGTAATATATTTGAGACAGGGAATTTGATCTTGATGATGTTGTCTGATTGTGACGTCACATCATTGTTTCTCTTGTCTCCGCACGTCCATGACTCGTATGTCGATTCGGATGGAATTTAACGGTATTCATATATGGAAACGACATCCCAGTGTTAGAGGTACGTTTCAGTGAACTCCTTATTACTTATCTATGTCAAAAGCTTATTACAGGAGATTGTGCGCGGTATATTTAAAGTTCTAAACCTGCATAAAGTAAGTTCTAAACATGCAACGACGTAGAGCGGCGTAGTGTGGGTTGGTGAGTCAGTGTCTCAATGATCGCGCGAGTGAATGTTTGAGTGAGTGAATGAGTTTCTGAATGAGCGTCTGAGAGAGTGATTTAGTGAATGAGTGAGCAAGCGAGCGAGTGAGTGAGTGAGTGAGTGAGTGAGTGAGTGAGTGAGTGAGTGAACGAGCGAGCAAGCGTACATCGACGTCTTTCAAGGTTGATGAATTTCCGGACGATCTGTCAGTAACCGTATTAAAAAATAAGAAGAAATTATTGTGAAAAAAAAAGAGTTTGGTCATCTTGTGATTGCCTTGACTTAAAAAATGAGGGTTGCAGTATATCTTACTTAAAACAACCTCTCATCTCCATCATGTGCGCTGTTAAAGGAATCTTTCACATCCCCAGTCTCCCAGTGACGATGTCAAACAAAGTAACACGATGGATCCGAGCAGGCATGGAGGTGAGTTTCATCAACTCAGCTGTAGACATGATATATTTTCAAAAGAAGCCACCCGATGGCTAATCTGTCATCATATATCTTCTTTTGTGTTCATTCCTATAGGTTTATTCAAATAAATGAAGAACTCTTCTACCCGTGAAGATCCGGGGTTGAATAGATTTTTCAGCAACCCATGCTTGTCGTGCGAGGCGACTAACGGGATCGGCTGATCAGGCTCACGATGTCAGTCACTGATTTGTCTGTCCCAGACTCGATTATTTACAGACCGCTGTCACATAGCTGGAATATTGATGAGTGTGGCGTTTAACAACAAACAAACATAAAATATACATAGTCTCAAGCTCACGGCCTCTCGGTCTGCATAAAGCACACTCTTTAGGTTTAGCACTACATTATTCAAGATTCTTCTTCAACAATTGTTGAATTGATTTCCATAACACCCTCCATATAATTATATGTAGTGAGTAAATTGCAGTTGAAGCGTGTCAAGAAATACAAACATAATCATTAACGTTTATGATTCTACGAGCGCTTCAAATGCAGCGGGGTTGCACAGAGTATCCCCGACATCACTTGGGGATACTCTGATAGCGCCTTTTATCATCATCATCATCATCATCATCATCAGTTGTGGCTGTTTAACGTCGAACTCAGCAATATTGCAGCTATATGGCGGTCTGCAAATAATCGAGTCTGAACCAGACAACCCAGTGATTGACATTATGAACACCGATCTCCACAATTGGGATCGATGACATGCATCAACCAAGTCAGCGAGCCTGACCATCGAATCCCATTAGCCGCCTCTTACGACAAGCATAGTCGCCTTTTACTGCAAGCATGGGTTGCTGATGACCTATTCTACCCCGGATCTTCTTACGACAACCGGGACCGCCTCCGTGGTCTAGTGGTAGATCGTCCGCCCGGAGAGCGGAAGGTCCGGTGTTCGATCCCCGGCCGCGTCATACCAAAAGACGTTAAAAGATGGTACTTGTTGTTACCCTGTCTGGCGCTCGGCATTAAGGGGATAAAACAAGAACTGGTCGGCTCGGAGTCAGTATACTGTGTCTGAGTGGGGTATTCATGTTAAACTGCGGCATGGTATCTCAGTGAGCTAGCACTATAAATCGGCATCAGTCCGGACTAGTACAAGCAGCCACACAAACATAAACACGTTCATGCACGTCGCTATATAAGTGCAATAATCTTGGACGCGACGTTAAACCCCCATTTCACCTCACCTCTTACGACAACCACTGTAGTAATAGTAGTAGTAGTAGCTGCAGTAGTAGCAGTAGTAGAGTAGTAGCTGCAGTAATTGTAGTGGTAGTGGTGGTAGTATTAGTAGCAGTAGTAGAAGTAGCATAACTAGTAGTAGTAGTAGCAGTAGTAGTAGTAGTAGCTGCAGCAGTAGTAGTAGCAGCTGCAGTACTAGTAGCAGCACCAATAGGAGTTGTAGCGGTAGTTGTAGAAGCAGTAGTAGTAGTAGCAGTAAAAGCACTAGTGGTAGTAGTAGTCGTAGCATTAGAAGCAGTAGTAGTAGTAGCAGTAGTTGTAGTAGTAGTAGTAGTAGTAGCAGCAGCAGTAGCAGTAGCAGTAGCAGTAGCAGTAGTTGTAGTGGTAGTAGTAGCAGTAATAGCACTAGTGGTAGTAGTAGTAGCAGTAGTAGTAGTAGTAGCAGTAGTAGTAGTAGTAGTAGTAGAAGTAGTAGTAGTAGTAGTAGCAGCACCAATAGGAATTGTAGCGGTAGTTGTAGAAGCAGTAGTAGATCAGTAATAGCACTAGTGGTAGTAGTAGCAGTAGTAGTAGTAATAGTAGTAGTAGTAGTAGTAATAGTAGCAGTAGTAGTAGTAGTTGTAGTAGTAGTATTAATAGCACTAGTGGTAGTAGTAGTAGAAGCTGCAGAAGTAGTAGTAGTAGTAGCAGTAGTAGAAGCTGCAGTAGTAGTAGTAGTAGTAGCAGTAGTAGTAGTAGCAGTAGTAGTAGTAGTAGTAGTAGTAGTAGTAGCAGTAGTAGTAGTAGCAGCAGCAGTAGTAGTAGTAGTAGTAGTAGTAGTAGTAGTAGAAGTAGTAGTATTAGTAGTAGTAGTAGTAGTAGTAGCTGCAGAAGTGGTAACAGCAGGTCCTTTCTCCAATAGTTGTGTGCAGCTTGCTTGCTCCCTGCTTGCGCTGGGCACCTTCCGCCGAGAGTCAGCAAGAGGAAGAAGCGCCGATACTGGATGCTGGGAAGAGTCTTGAAGATTGGACCCAACACTTGTGGACATGGAGGTTCTCTTCGAGTCGACGGTGAGGGCGTGATATATTAAACATTCTTCATCTGTCCAAATATAGTACAATAAGATAAGATCATTTTTGTTCGTAACAGAAACGATCTCATTAAATTAAACTCGAGCTACTGGATTAGATTGTTTTCAATGTGATGATTCCTTCTTTGACTAAATCCTAATGAAACTAAAGTACTTGATTTACACTATTTCACTCAGGAGATCAAGGGACCAAAGGTGTAACCGGAGAAGAGGGTGAACAAAATAAGAAACTATGTACAAGCGAACCCGACGCTAATATCCAAGCTAAAACGTGTTGCAATGGAAGACCCAGACGTGAGGAGAAAGCCCAAACACGAAGACGCAGGCATTTCCCGAGGCGACGCTCAAAGAAGACACGCAGTCGACGGAAGATGAGAGATCGCCTGCTCTGCAAGTTGCAGGCGAGGAAAAACGCCATTGACCTCAAGTCGAGATACCTTGACCTGCAAACATTCAGAAACTCGGATGATAATATCGGAATCAGTGAATTAAAGAAGGGTTTATTTTGTGAAGAGGCTAACAGTGACAACAAGCCGAGCATTTCACTGGCTATGACACAGATTGACAAGTTGGTGTATGAGAAGGTACAGAAGCGTTTTGGTCACTGCAAATCAGCCTGGTTGGAACATGAAGATCCTAACTATGATGCTTCCTCTGTGAATGAAATGAATGATGCAGTGCACACAAAAGAACATCCCCCCAAAAGCCGAAGGGAAAATCATTGCAGGGCCAATGATTTAACAGAGAAAGGAAGATATGGAGCCAAATACAATTATCTCGAGGTCTATGACATGAACCAGGATGGCAAAGAAGATGCAGATTTAAACATGTGTGGGGACGTGAGTGGGCAAAACGAGCGGAATGGTGTTAAAGTCACTGCATCTGGACAATATCTGGAAATGAGAGGCACCAAGTATGTGTCTGAAGAGCATAAGGAAAGCACCATAGATTTGGTCGATGCTGGTGCTGTATACGAGTCCTCGTCGGAAGAGTCTCTGAGTTCAAAACATGCTGTAGAAGGAGATTCACAAGGGGTGTTTAATGAACCTACGTATGCCCTGATAGTAAACAGGCTAACTGCCCACTGCGTTGGTCTCGATATTGATCAAGAAGAAGAAGAAGAAGAAGAAAATAGGATGATACAGGTTGAGCTGTATTCTGCCAATTCAATAAGACTTTGTCTATCAGACAGGAAGGAACTGGAGAATGTTTATGACGTTGTAAGATGTCCAAACAGAAGTAAAGACAACACAGAAGGCACTGAGATGTTAACCAGGGATCCATCCCTGCGTGGCGACACAGTTAATACATGTCCAGGCGAAGAAGAACAAGAAATAAGAATTGGCAACTTTGCAGTATCCAGCAAACTGACCCCACATGTTCCTGCCAACAAAACACCAACTGAGTTCCCCCACGATGATGGCCAACGGGGCATATCCCCCATACAGGGGCCAGAGAGGGCTGAAGAAGATGACATCACAAACGGATCATTTCGGATATCAGTAACAATCCGCGTTGGTGGACACAGAGCAACAGATTCAAATGAATCCAAAGGTATAATCCTTGACATCAATGAAGAACATCCGAATGGAAATACTCCAAGCACCAACAAGCAGGAGGCGGGAGATGGGCAGGATCTACCAGGATGTCCTCATTGGCATCCACAACGTCAAGCATCTCCAACGGCTGTTCCAGGTGTTGTGGAACCATCTGCCGTGGGGGAACAGTCTGTTACAAAGCTACCCAAATCTGCCGTGGGAGAACAGTCTGTTACGAAGCTGCCCAAATCCCCCTTGGTCGCTGAACGCCCTGAACACCTCCAGGGCACCAGGAAAAAACCTCCACTTCATCCAACTCGACTAAAAAATAAGAAAGTTTCTGATGAAATTCAAGGTGGGGATGATAATCAAGAACACATGCACTATGTTACTGAGGCTGCTTCAGTCATTGTGTAACTAGTAAAGTTGTAATCCTAAATCAGGGCAGAGATGCAATCATTATTATGGCTGCGATAGTATGTAGTGAATATGATATGGTCAATACATCTGTCAGCAGAAGGACACAGAGACTGTGTTTTCAATGCAGAATTACCTAAATTAATTAACTTTCCAATGATAGACCAATCAGAATCCAGTTTTTTTTCAGATTAAGAATGGTAGCATTACTGTTTTGCATCATCTCAAAAAGTTGCCATACGATCTCTTTGAACTACAGTAAACTACGTTTATTAAGAACACACAACGAACTTACCGACATAACAAACTTTTTTTTAGCCCCGTCCATGTGTTGTATATACGCTGTATATATGCTGTATATATGCTGTATATATGCTGTATATATGCTTATACCGAACTACGGTTACTACAAACTAAAATTAGTGGTCCCATGGAGTTCGTAATTATGGTAGTTTACTGTACATGGAAATAGAAATGGTATAATATTTCTAATCCAACAGAATCAATAGCTGAAAGACAGATACCCTCTAGTAACCACCCTGAAGATGGCCTTGACAGCGTTAGATGAAGCTGAAGACGTTCTCAAACGCCTATGATCATCTGACAGATGTTAACAATTCAATGTACTGTCTGCCATACTTATGTAGTGATGACAATGGCAGTAATCAAATTGTTTATTGATGCATATCTAATGGTGTTTCTCCATTGTTTCAGGGCCAGAGAACACTGTTGAAGATCACGTGAAGCTGTGATAGCAGTGCACATATGGTCTGAGGATTGTTTGAGCAGTCAATACACAAGTTGTAGTTCATTATTAATATTTCTTCATAAACTGTAATTGAAATCAACATAAACAATTTGGCTGTTTCCAGTTCTCAGTTTGACTTTCCAAACATGGATGTTTGAGAGAAAATCATGTGAGATTTAGTATATCTGCATGTATAATCAACATTAATGAACCTTTCATTTGATAACATGAATGCATATGTGGAATATAAATAAATAATTCTTTTAACCAATTATTGAGATTTAAATTTCAGTGTCATGAAAGGTTAAAATATGAATACTGGGAAAATATGAGAATATCTGTAAGTTGTTTTACCATATTTTGTAGTTTCTAATGTTATGTTTGGTTTGTTTCCTGTACTCACTGGGCTGACATTGATCTCCAGCTAAAATATGAAAAAAAATAAATTATTTTCTTGATATGTATACTCATCGAGAAAGACAATCGCGAATACCATACATGTTGGTGAATATATGAAGAATAACTCATATTCAAGAGATATTAGATTGGTCGATACACAAACGAACATACTGGAAAGTTGTGTGAACCGACGCTCGTGAACACATCAATTGTGATGTCATAGATCCATGACTTCAGATGAACCATTATTCCCATGCAGGATTATCATGTAAAGTTTGGAAATCAGGTGCAGGATATCGTGATAAGAATAAAGACACTCTGTGGTAACACTTGACCGATTGTTAGTTTAGTCATTAAGTGGTACACATTGGAAACATCTCTTCTCAACATACTTCTATGTATGTTTCTATGGTTTGCATTTCTTCAGGCGGTGAGTATACATATCCAACAAATGTCTCATGAGGATAACGTACTGGGAGGGCAATAGTCATATCATGAAACAATGTTAATCAAAGTAATGAACATTTATGTCACAAGGAAAATGTTTCCTCCAAACGGACGTCTTGGTTATGAAGACAACGTTGATAACAATGTTTTCAACCTGCCTGTGTTTGTTCACCATTATGTTTGAGCCTGGAATACTGGTACTCTAGTTGATCCATAACATGAGAATTTTAAAGTAAATATAAATATATATTTGATGTTGTGTTTTTTCTTGAAGTGTGAATGTATGTAAGTTAAAGCATAGACAGTGTATTTCAATGCCACAACTTGCACTTCGGGCAGTTGAGAACAGAAGCAACATGCATTGGTTGACCATCAAGGTCATTGCTTGGCTCAAACAGATCTGCCAAACATCACAACGTCAGAAGGAACCTTAAATATAAAATGACCTTCTTCGGTCCAAGCTGAACATTATTCAAGCCATATGGTGGCTTTTTCCACCAGGCTACTCAACTGCCACTATTGACAGAATGAGGTCCACACCATTGGGGTAGGATAGCACAGTCTCCAGAACAGACTGACTCCAGTGAAGTTTTGACATTTCAAGCTTCTTTCTTACATTTCTGATGACAGCCTAAAGCAATGCAGGTATCACTTTGATGGAACCCACAAACCTGGAAACATGATCAAGGCAAATCTTAGATTCAAACCTGTTATCACTGGTTCCTGGCATGCCAAGGGATGCAACTCTACACAGTGAATAGCAGAGCCTGAGACAAGTGGGCCACCATCAACAGTGAGGTGAGGTGAAATAGGGCTTAACGTGGCATTCAAGATTGTTCCACTTATATAGTGACATGTGTGTGTGTGTGTGTGGTGTGCGTGTGGTGTGGTGTGGTGTGGTGTGGTGTGGTGTGGTGTGGTGTGGTGTGGTGTGGTGTGTCGTTAGGTGAGGTGTGTGTGGTGTGGTGTGGTGTGGTGTGGTGTGGTGTGGTGTGGTGCCGAGCGTCAGACAGGGTAACAACAAGTACAATCTTTTAACATCTTTTGGTATGATGCAGCCGAGGATTAAACCCCTGACCTCCCGCTCTCCGGCAGGATGCTCTACCACTAGGCCACAGAGGTGGTCAGTATTCCAGTCATATCTCCGTGTGAAAGCCCAAAGTGATGCAGGTCTCAGATGTTTACCACTTGATGAAACCCATGAGCACGGATATGGTGTGCTACCATTAACAACAATTACATACGTTTCATATGATCATATGATCAAAGAAGGACTGACAACTTTGATCAGCCATTGTCACAACTGAGGTGAGTGCAGGCAGGGTAACAAGAAGTAGCACCTATTAACATCTTATGGTATGATGCAATAAGGGTTTGAACCCCCACCACAGAGGCTGCTCGCTGAGATGACTTTAAAATGACAAATCATAAAGAGCTGCATTACGACATGATTTATTGCAACATGTTAGTGTTACATGCCTGACATACAACATTACAATACTGACAAAAAATAAATGTTGGATGAAGAGTTTCTCCAGCAAAGCACCATTTCCTACCTGCCATAGTGTCATCTGAAGAGAAACATGACTGAAAGTGAAATATCCACCCAAATATTGACAGAGGAACTCGGCTCAAGCAATCTGGAATGACCAGAATTCGAGTTGTTCAAACACCACTTGGCCTTCTAACTTGGTTTTGGTATTTTCTGGTCTTGTGATTACTTGTTCCTGTAATGACAAGTCCAAAACACCCCATGTTCACGTATGGTATTAACAACTGGCTAGAACTAGCCTGGAAATTAACACAAGACCATGCAGCAGAGTTCCTCTTTAAGCCTTCCTAGAACAAAAACCATTGTCCAAAACATATCCTTAATTCTAAATTATTCTTTTTGAGTTGAATTTATTGATTTATAATTATGTTTAAAACAAATAATCTACTTTTTCAATATCAAAATACAATCAAGTTCCAAGGTTTCTGAAACCAATTTCAAAAGACCAGGACATCCTTTCAAATGTCATAGATAACAATTCAAATCACAAAGAGATCCCTCCAAATGACACTATGGTTTGACTTAATTGCCCACGATTGATTATCACAGTTATACAAAAATATTACTATTGGATCAGAATTTATTTGTTCAATGTGAGATTCAAATATCCATTGACAGTGAGTATTCATATTGTTTCAAGGAAACATGGACATTTTCAGTAATTATCAATTAATTATAATTATCAATAGTCCCCTTGTTCGAACAGATAATGTGGAAAAGACACACTAAACTATATTTCTGGGTGAGATTATAAATGATTACATATTTGCTGCTGTTATGCAAAAAATTAATTGCAGTTTGAGACTTAACATTGAAATGTTTCGTTCCAACATACAGGAGAATGAGGCAGTCACAGAAGGTTTAATTCAAGTCATTAACACTCCACTGACTATCTCCTACTTCAACTTTGATGATGTATATACCAAGCAGTTAATGATGACCCAGATGACACAGAATATGTCTCTGTTTGACATAGCACTAATTACCAAGTACAATACAGAGGCATCTCTGGATGTAGGTACTACAGCTGCTCGTGAACATCATCACATCACACAGTGCGAGACTATTCATGAAATGTGGACTTTGTGTTATGGCGGATCAAGTTTATATTTCCTTACAGGATGTACTGACAGACAAAATAGGATGTTTCATTTAAATTTACATATGACAGTGCTCCAAATATTGTTTTTATGCTTTTTAATATAATTTCAATGATTTTTTCAATTTTTCTTTTGGTATTCAAGATATTCATATTTCCTAGTCTAGTATTTTCCAACTGATGAAGTGGCTTGTTTCATAGCCATTTCCTGGAAGTCTACAGACCACAAAGTAGACACAATTTATGGATAACTCTTTCTATAATGTTCTGTTACAGTGATGTTTCGGTTCAGACCCTTATAATATTGTCAAGCAAGACTGGAACTTGGATTGGTCTCTTACAATTACAGGAGGTAGCACTTTTTTAAATTATTCGTAGTAGAGTAGTAGAGTTCATGTAAGTGATTGGATCAGGAATGACATACTGGTTCACACAAGCTGAACAAGCCACATTGGATGTCTGCACAGTCTTGTAATACGACAGGGTTTAATGAATTTAATCATATTTATACACAAAGAACTAAAAAATAAGAGGTTAATGGTGATTTCTTCTGCATATTTTACACTTATCTGGAGATAGAATGTAAGCCCATGAGAGCACCAAATAAATGTCAAGTATATTTTTTTCTTCAAATTATATATGCAATGCTGACAAACAAACAGTGTTAGGTGAAGGACACTTTCACTATTGGAGCCTCCCCTCTGTTGAAGAAATGTCCAGGAAAGTGAGTGACTTTGGGGTTGAATGTCAGCCATCCTATAAAGGTGTATGTGCCAGCAATACATGGGGGCAAAGCTCCAACAGCATCATTCCCAGACCTCACTTCCATCCTGGTAAAACCCTCCAACAGATGTTTCTAATTTTTCGTTTGTAGCACAAATTCAAATGCTGTTGTGTGCAAATATATAATTCGGGAAACACCATACATTGTAGATGCAAGAGCTATAATTGTCAGATAAATGATTACAACAGAAGACATATACCGCAGTATTTAAAATAATAATGTATCATGATTGTATTTACAGATAATGGTAGCACTGAATGTGTCTTTCTCCTGAAACATTATACAAGAGTAGATTACACTGAAAACCAACACTGAACAATCAAAGCAACAAGTTGCAAGCCCCAAATCTACCTTTCAACATGATATCTGATAAAATGAAAATAAATCTGTATGACTCCTTCACGCTGTGACAATGTGACAATGGCACCACACTACCGGTACACTGAAAGCCCTTGACAGACATCTTCCCAAGGCAAGGGAGTTAACTCTATAAAAGTCACTATAAAAGTCCAGTTTCCTACCTTGCCGAACTTGGCTGGAATTCCGGTTTATTGTGGCTGGACTAACGAGTCTATGCGGGGATGAGGATGGATATTTTCCTAAGCTGAAACTTGGGGGTGTTCAGGTGGATGCCATCAAATTTTAACAAATTTGTGGTCATTAAAATTCGTTGAAATCGCGGATCCGCGGAAGATTCTCACCCCTGTCTATGCATAGTCCAATCAAAAACGGAGAACGAAATCGACATCTGGTTCGTAAACATGGATTTCAAAATGTTTAAATCAAATTTGATGATTTTGTAGATCAGAAAGGGATGTTTTTTTCTGCCACTATTGATCAAATTGATTTCAAGACTAACAAGTACTCCAGGGCCCACTTGCACAAAGCGATCTTAGCGCTAAGACTATTGTAAGCCTATGTTAAAGTATGGAAGTTACGATCATCTTAGCGCTAAGATCGCTTTGTGCAAGTGGGTCCTGGTCACTAAGTGCTTATATATATAATACACAGACTAGTTCCATATTAACATAATCCATACATCATAAATAAAAAAGATTGTTACTGCAGCTCACCTGTTTCTGACCAAATTCATATTTATTGTGAACACAACATATCCTGTTTTCAAGGTTTTAGTATAACAGAATTACAAAATTCTCCACCATCTGTTTATGCCTACATAAAACAAAAAAGCACTAGATATAGCATGGACAAAAAACGATACATACTTCTTGTTTTTCAATAAGCGAAAACACTGACCAAAACAATACACAAATCATGTCAACAGTGAGATGCTATTGTTATAATAGGGCAAAAGAAAGTTATTTGTCGAAAGCAAATTTCTAAAATTCTCAAACAGATTTCTCAACACAATATTTACCAACAAATTAAATGTCTTTTGCCTCCAGAATATATCTTAGAAATAACATGGTTCGCGTGTTGGTCACTGGGAGGCTGTCTGAGCCGTGTTGATGGGTAGTTCAAAGTAAGAAGCTCTCACACTGACTGTATGGCAAGTGTGAATGTACAACGTTAATGTGGACGGATTTCACTCATTCCAGCATTGGTTTTCTGACTAGCACTTGAACACAGATCACAGATATGGAACAATTTCCGACACAAAATTTCATTAATGCTGTTTAGTCTCTAACCCGGGATGCATCATAAAGTTACAACTATGCAAAGCATTGGTTTATGAGTTGCTCATTGACACAGACAAGCCAACTGTTTCAGATAGCATGTGACTACTGCTGTCCAGTATTAATGCTGTATTCATCATAGAGAAACATGATGCTGACACCAACATGCACAGCTTCAGTTATGACGTGTACTGAAACACACCGAAAGCACATGATCAGCTTCAACTCTAAATACATCATAAGAAAATAATTTGGAAGTACATCTCAAAACACACTGAATGAGATTCAAACTACATGCTGGCATTGTTAAGTTAGACTACCTCATGCCTAACTTCCAAAACTTAATTTCATTTTTGTGGCCTATTTGCCAAATATCACAAAAATCTGAATAAACATTTTCAAAGTGTATCATCAGATATGTAACAGGGGACACTGTGAAATTAAATAACATAAGACAAGGATTATCATTCTATAAATAATTTTTTGATCAATGTTAATTTCAATCTTATTTCACTCATAAAGCGTTTTGCAAATTTTATAATCATAGAACATCCATGTTGCCTGTTAACCTTTCCAAAGGTTAAAAATACAAAGACAATACCCCTGGAAACATCAACTGCGAAACATGTTACACCTTTATGGTATATACTGAGTGAAACAAATAAGGGAAAAGCTTTGTATTGCACTGGGGCTGAAAATCTGGGAATGAGAAAAGAACACTGCAATGAAGAGGTGTTCCCTTCCTTCCCACAGTACATATATACTATTTACTGTCTCTATCAACAAACTAGGGACAAAAAGTAGCAAAAAGCATTTTGATCATGGGAAGGATTTACAAACATGGCATAAAATGGGTAATTATATAAAAAGGAATTTTTCGTAAATGTCTTTCATATCCTTGTGCACGTTATGTGTTGAACAGTGTTCGGAGATTAAGTGGAGTCCTGGGTCCTTGTGGTTTGCTCCCATAGTATTTGAGTGAGTGAGTGAGTGAGTGAGTGAGTTTGGTTTTACGCCGCTTTTAGCAATATTCCAGCAATATCACGGCGGGGGACACCAGAAATGGGCTTCACACATTGTACCCATGTCGGGAATCGAACCCGGGTCTTCGGCGTGACGAGCGAACGCTTTAATCACTAGGCTACTCGACCGCCCCCCATAGTATTTGAGTTGAAGGATTCCTTAAATATCAACTTTTAACATTAGGGTAATGACAAAGACCCTTGACTTTCACGTATAGTTTCCAACATGGACATTAACTATTGCTTGTCATAGTCATTCTGAACTGTAGCTTTAAACTGTAGAATTTTAAACTGTTGCTTTCATAACTGTAGCTTTCTAAATGTAGCTTTCTAAACTGTAGATGATTACTAGATTTGCTTGAGTATTACATGACAAAACAATACAGTTAGGACCTTTGGAATGGTTCTCCATGTGACTAGGCATGCTCACATTCATGGTGGTAGTCTGTATCACCGAATCTTGTTTGAATAGCATGGAATATCCTGTGGAGTAGAGAGAGGTACAGTGTACGGAGGGTCTGATTTAGAGAGGATTTGCTGTTCCTGGTCTGTGTCCCAGGCACCATGTACCCCTCATGTTTAATATTGAAACATTCAGTGAAGTACAAATATACTGTACAGAGATCCTCATCCTCATCAGTGCCTATCAAGGTCATTATGCATTTTCAAAATATACCATATTCGATGTAATAAGCGCCCCGCTTTAATAAGCGCCCACAGCGATATTTGCTAATATATTGGCAAGTAAACAATCCCAATTAGCACCCATTCGGATTGAGTGTTTCATGCACCCTTAATTATGGGCAATTAAATTATGGAAAAATATATCTGTCGTATATAAACATTTCAGGCTGTCAGCATAAACCACAAATTTTATCTTTCAACTCAAAATAATATTCTAATAAGAGCCCCCTATTCTAATTTGAGAGGGCCCTGGGCGCTTATCACGTCGAATACGGTAACATCAAACTTCATGTCACAATATTAATCACTACAACTAGGAACACTTAGAATACAAATGCAAAAAAACTAAATTGATATTCAAATCAAGTTCATAGCGAACATTAAACACAAATATCATACCCAACAGATACTTCTCTCACGTGTCTCACATACATCTGAATATTGATGACATGACAACATAGTTTTGAGTGCTTACTCATGACTGATTAAAAAACAGTCATCATTTACCTTTGACCATTTTGATTTTTTTATCATATTTTCAAATTCTAAGTGACATATACACTCCAAGCAATTTTTGTAGTAAAATTATATACAAGAAAAAAACCATGACCTAGTACTTTACAATATTGCTCATTAACAACAAACTGCTTACAAGATATTCTAGATGAAAAATAAGTTACTTATAATACCCCTTAAAGCCTCAATTTTACCAAGAGCCTTATTACAGTCTAACCAAACTAAGATGGGCAGTAAGCTCAACCTGAGAACAGCTTTCTTCATGACAAGCCCCAAGTAAGCATCAATGCCATCTAATTCTGGTTACACTGTAACAGTATCGTTGAAGTCCTGACATCATGGCAGTAGTGTCTGTTAGTCCCTCCTGATGAGTTGGAAGTGACCAGTAGGGTCAGGTATATAGTATTTTTCCCACAGTTCTGAGTGTTGAGCACTGCGTCCCCAAGGCTTGTAGCGGCCGCTCCAATGTAGCAGCTTGCCCCCCTGTAGGAAGTGGGTGGTGTAGCTGGACCCGGGAGTCAGACCTGGAACATCCACATGCATAATGATGATGATGATGGTGATGATGATGATGATGATGATGATGTGCATACATGTATTTATAACACGCCAAATCCACACCCTGAAGCTTTCTAAAAGTGTTACATTTTTACCCTGGTCAATGGAGTGAGTGAGTGAGTGAGTTGGGTTTAACGCCGCTTTTAACAGTATTCCAGTTATATTGCGGCGTGTCAGCTTAATGTGGGAGGAAAGCTCCAAGTGATGCAGGTCTCAGACGTTTACCACTTCGGTGAAACCCACAAGCACAGGTATGGTGCTGACAAACCTAGAAACATAATCGGGGCGAACCGGGATTCGAACCCACAATCATAGGTTTCTGGCGTGCCCAAGGGATGCAACTCTGCACAGCGAATCGTGGCGCCTTTGACGACTGGGCCACCCTTGCCCCCCCTGGTCAATGGATCAATGTGCACTTGATTTTCCTTCTCAACTCCCTGGGGAGTATACAACACACTGCCTGTGAAGGGCTAGAAGGTTAACAGTCACATTACCATCTTATCCTACATGCAAGTTCTTCTCGTAAGATTGAAGGAGAGGTTATTGTAACAGCTGCATCGAGACATTCATGTGTAGACATTTAAGGATGGCATCTTATCCGTTGTTGAGTGACATCTTATGAGTGAGTGAGTGAGTTGGGTTTAACGCCGCTTTTTACAGTATTCCAGTTATATCACGGCGTTACATCTTATGAACTGTACCAAGACATCATAATGTCAACTGAAGCAAGACACCATCTTATCAGCTAATCAAGACACTATCTTACCATCTTATCAAGAACTCATTCTAAGAACTGAACCGAAACACCATCATGTTAACTGTTGACTGCAAACTGTGACAAACTTGCACATGTTGGACCCCATGATCTATTTCATCATTTATATTATTTTGATACAGACATCAGTTCCCACCCTTTGCAACTGGATTTCAAGACATAAGAACTCCATGCTTTGACAATGAAAGCACTCTTGATGCAATGTTAAGCATGAGTGAGTAAGTGGCTTAATGCCGCTTTGAACAGTATTCAAGTTAAAGGACAGCATGGGAGCATGGGTGTCTGGCCTGGCAAAGGGAGGTAACTCTGCACACCTTAGACAACTCGCCACCCATGGCCTCGTGTTAAACATGAACTCACTTACTTATCACCCTCACTGATACAACATTAACTGATTGTATTTTGATTTGGTGTTGCTGCCATATTGCTTTGGCTACCAGGAGAAGAACATGAGGAACTTACCAAGGTGTCGGACATTCCACATGGGGTTGATGTTAGAGTAGACCATGAGGAACTTACCAAGGTGTCGGACATTCCACATGGGGTTGATGTTAGAGTAGACCATGAGGAACTTACCAAGGTGTCGGATATTCCACATGGGGTTGATGTTAGAGTAGACCATGAGGAACTTACCAAGGTGTCGGACATTCCACATGGGGTTGATGTTAGAGTAGACCATGAGGAACTTACCAAGGTGTCGGATATTCCACATCGGGTTGATGTTAGAGTAGACCATGAGGAACTTACCAAGGTGTCGGATATTCCACATGGGGTTGATGTTAGAGTAGAACATGAGGAACTTACCAAGGTGTCGGACATTCCACATGGGGTTGATGTTAGAGTAGAACATGAGGAACTTACCAAGGTGTCGGACATTCCACATGGGGTTGATGTTAGAGTAGAACATGAGGAACTTACCAAGGTGTCGGACATTCCACATGGGGTTGATGTTAGAGTACAGCTTGTGGAAGACCAACATCATTGGAGGCTGCGATCCTCCTCCACCCTTCTCATTACCATAAACCTCCTCCCTGTAACCATGACAACAAGGAACCATAACAATGCGTTCATCCTTGAGGAGGCTGTTCAGTCAGCATTAATACTGTCCAGCAACTGATGACGTTTACATGCACAATGCATTAGAGACATATGTTTATTCAAAATCACAACTGCTGTCTACTCCCAACAGCTTGGGCAAGTTCTAACTTCTGTCTGACCATGCAGTGTCTGGTGAGCTGTCTGACCATGCTGTGTCTGGTGAGCTGTCTGACCATGCAGTGTCTGGTGAGCTGTCTGACCATGCAGTGTCTGGTGAGCTGTCTGACCATGCAGTGTCTGGTGAGCTGATGACCATGCAGTGTCTGGTGAGCTGATGACCAGCTGTGTCTGGTGAGCTGATGACCAGCTGTGTCTGGTGAGCTGTCTGACCATGCAGTGTCTGGTGAGCTGATGACCAGCTGTGTCTGGTGAGCTGATGACCAGCTGTGTCTGGTGAGCTGTCTGACCATGCAGTGTCTGGTGAGCTGATGACCAGCTGTGTCTGGTGAGCTGATGACCATGCAGTGTCTGGTGAGCTGTCTGACCATGCAGTGTCTGGTGAGCTGTCTGACCATGCAGTGTCTGGTGAGCTGATGACCAGCTGTGTCTGGTGAGCTGTCTGACCATGCAGTGTCTGGTGAGCTGAAGACCAGCTGTGTCTTGTGAGCTGTCTGACCATGCAGTGTCTGGTGAGCTGTCTGACCATGCAGTGTCTGGTGAGCTGATGACCAGCTGTGTCTGGTGAGCTGTCTGACCATGCAGTGTCTGGTGAGCTGTCTGACCATGCAGTGTCTGGTGAGCTGATGACCAGTTGTGTCTACTGCATATCAGTAACCATGGCAGCCTGTTGAAGCTGTCTATCAAAATTTAGTTTGAAAAGAATCAAAACTGTGTCATTCATTATTGCTCACCCTTTTGGCTCTGTTACTCGATTAGAAGATCAGCCACTTTGTAATGTGAGGTGAAACTGTATAACCTTAATGCCCTTGTGTGGTGGTGAGGTGAAATGGGATTTAACGTCGCATTCAAGATTATTGCACTTCTACAGCTACGTGCGTGCACTTGTGTGGCTGTTTGTACTAGTTGGGAGTAATGCTGAGTTAATAGTGTTTGCCCACTGAGATACCATGACACAGTTTAACATGAATACCCGTCAGACACAGTATCCTGACTCCGAGCCGACCAGTCCTTGTTTTAGCCCCTTAATGCTGAGTGCCAGGCAGGGAAACAACAAGTACAATCTTTCAACATCTTTGGGTATGATGCGGATGGGGATTGAACCCATGATCTTAAGCTCTCTGGCCATGGAGGCAGTCCTGTCTCTGTACAGTCAACAAAAGCCCTTACTTGACATTAAGCTCCAGCCACGCCTCCAGCTGTTTGGTGATGTTAAACTTCCTCCACTGGGACAGGTCAGAAACAAACACACCAGTGTTAAAGGCACACTCTGTTGGCTTGATACCCATTTTGACAACCGCCTTGTGTTTGAAGTCGATATAGTTGGCATAATTGTTCTGTGGAAGAGAGGAATTGTGTTACGCAATTCTAAGTAAGGTGACAATTTGTAAAATGTTTGGCATATATACTTCTGACAATGCTCGAGTCTTACCTCCATGTGAGAGAGATGTTTGCCTACTCCAACACAGTCCGAGGAGAAGGCAGCCAGGTGATCGGGGTGTATCTTCATGTTGTACAGCTCGGAGATGTCACCTTGGTGAGAGGATGATGACTGAGCTTCAGTTTGTGATTTAATCATATTAGTAAAATCTAAATATTTTTTACATTTGTATACTTATCCTGCATTACTCCGTATTGCATTTACTGCTGTCTTTGACAGAGAGACGAACTGTGTGAGATCCAGCTGCTGAAGAAAGTTGTTTCCATCTGTCCAGGAAGCAGCGCCCCCTCCCACACAGTCGGCACGTGACCCGGAAGACATGACGTCATGTCAAAACACATAACTGCTTTGTCAACCACATGGATCGGACGTGAACTGTATCCCTCAGTGGAATTATTAAAGCTTTCTTGGTCCTGACTTTCTTTCGTTTACTACGACAAAAGTCTGCTGTATTACCTTTGCCTTCATTATATTGTTAATTGGTAACGTTTCTCGCTCGGGTTGTGACTCTCGTCACGGTTTTTCCGAGCGTATTGTTGTTTCCCGCCATTTTGGTTTACCGCCATTTTTTCCCGCCCTGTTGCGATTCACTACGTGTCCACGTACTTTCGTGTTTTGTGTCTTGAATTCGCTCTATGGTTGGAGTTTTACATTAAGTTTAATGATTGTTTTGGCGTGTTTGCTTTAACATAACATCGGAAACTTCGTGGGGAGGAAGCGGAGCGCAGGGGGGGCACTTAGACTTCGTAATGCAGGATAAGTATACAAATGTAAAAAATATTTAGATTTTACTAAATTTTTTAACTTATCCTGCATTACTCTGTATTGCATCTTTATCAGATGGCACGGCCGGTGGGCATACCTTCAGATGTGAGCCAGAAGAAAACCCTCGACAAAGGTCCGATGAAATCGCACCGCATGGACAAGAGATGACCGGAACACCAGCGACCATTCCTGTCAAAGGAAACGAGAGTCGATGCAAAAGAGGGAACCCGAAATAGGTGACAGAAATAGTATGAGGCAGTATGCCAAAACTAGCACTGACCTAAGAGCGAATGCGGAACGCAGTAGAGCCCTCTAATCTGTGGTGATAAACACCAGAGAGTTCGACGGGCCCCGCTCAGGGTAACGGAGAATCAGTGGCGTCGGGGGTTGGTGACCTGTTGAGCTACCACCAGGGGACCAAAGCTATGAACGCCAGCGACATCTTCCAAGGCTACATCACGGAGGTAGTGGTTGGCGAAAACGGTGTCGGAACGCCAAAAACAGCCTTCCATGATCGATTTGAGGGAACAGTTACTGTGCAGAGCCATGGTAGACGCGACCGCCCGAATCTCGTGGGGGTTGTTAGCCTTGGGGGGGTCCAATCCGGCGACTTTATAAGCTTGGAGGATGACCGCCCGGAGCCACAGGGAGATAGTATTCCGGCTGACCTCCGACAGCGACGAAGGGGAGACCGGTAGGAAAAGGCGTTTCCTAGACTTACGGCAGGCTTTAGATCGTCGCAGGAAAACCTTCAGGGCCCTAACTGGGCATAATAAAAGCTCCTCCACGTCGTCGGCACCCACAATCGACGAAAGTGGAGGGATGGTGAAGGATCTATCAGGCTGTCCGGGGAGTTGATTCTTTGCGATGAAGTCCCAGCACAGCCCAAGATGAACTGCTCCATGAGTCCCGCGTTCGAACCGGACCCGAGAGACGTCGAGGGCGTGGAGCTCACTAACCCGGGCGGCCGTAGCCAAGGCCAGTAGAAACACCGTGTTCTTTGTTAAGTCGTAAAAGGGAGACGTGTGGAGTGGTTCGAAGGGAGCCTCCCGAAGAGCCTTTAAGACCACATTCAGATCCCACGCAGACGGTCTGAACTTGGCTTTCTGGTCGTCGAGACGAAACGAGCGCAGCATAGCCTGGAGTTCGGGAATTTTCGTCATTCTCCAGTCGTCCGGGATGGCAAGGACGGAGTTAATGGCAACCAGGTACGTGGAGATGGTAGAGCCTTTTAATCGACGCGTGCTGCGCAAGTACAGAAGAAACTCAGCCAGGAACTGCGGTGATGCCGTCATCGGATCCTGATGCTTGTTAGAGCAGAACGCCTGGAACGAGGACCATTTATCATCATATAGTCCCCGTGTAGATGGACGATGGGCGAAAGCAATAGCCTTGGCTGCTCTAGTCGAATAGCCCTTGGCTCCTAGGGCTTTTTGCAGATGTGCCAGGCGTGCAGATGAAACCGAGCGGGACTTGGGTGGGGCAACAGACTGTGTGGGTGGAGCAGCAGGTTGGACCACGCTGGCAGTTCTAGAGGGTTGTCTCTGGCGACGTTTCGGAGGTCGACAAACCAACTTCTGGCCGGCCACCAAGGCGCGACCAAAATCAGTGTCAAGTGTCGAGTGGCCTGGATCTTTTGAAGAACCCAGGGAAGGAGAACCGGAGGCTGAAAAGCGTACGCGCTTAATCCCTCCCAGGGAACACTGAAGGCGTCGACTGCTACAGCGGCCGGATCCGGGACCGGCGAGATGTAAGTCGGCAGCTGGCAGTTCTGAGACGTGGCGAACAGATCGATGTTTGGAGTGGCGATCGTTTGACAAAGGACTGTGAAGATCTCTGGGTGGAGTCGCGATTCGGTGGGAGCCACCTTGTCCGGCCTGGACAGAGCGTCTGCCAGAACATTCTTGCAACCTGGAATGTGCTGAACAAGGAATTGCAAGTCTAAGCGGTCCACCAGGTCGAAGAATCGGAAGGTCTGGTTGAGCAGGGACTGAGAGTGGAGAGTACCCTGATTCCTCAGACACCACACCACGGTGATGTTGTCCGTGGAGATGGTCAACTGGGCGTGACGGAGAATGCTCTGCCAGTGGGAGACGGCCAGTATGAGAGCTTCGAGTTCGAGGTTGTTGCTGTGCCAGTGGAGTCGATCTCCGGACCACAGCCCTGCAACTGTTTGAGTCCCCAGATGAGCCCCCCAACCCTGTTTGGATGCGTCGACGAACAGGTGGAGGGAGGGCTGTAGCGCGGTCAAGGAGACGCCGCCGCAGACGTTCAATTCCACCGTCCACCATCGAAGGAAGGGGTGGAGGTGGACCGGGAGGACGATGAGGGACTCCGGATCCTGCTGCCGGATAAAGGGTGCGAGAAACCGTTGAATTGGACGGAGTTGGAGGCGACCTCTGGCAGTCAGGTCAGGTGAGGAGACCAAATAGAACCTGCCATTGGCGGAGAGTTCGAGCCTGTTGAAGGGCAGGGAAGAGATGAGCGAGGATTTTCAACCACCTGTCTCTGGGGACTTGAAGGAGGTCCTGATCCGTGAGAAACAGGCCCCCGATAAACTGCAGACGGAACGATGGGGTCAGCTCCGACTTGGTCTGATTGACGATCCAACCCAACTGATTGAAGAGCCGCAGGGTAAAATCCCTGTGACGCAGTAGCAACGCCGAGTCCCGATTGTTGAGGAGACAATCGTCGATGTATGGATCGAAGTTGATGTTCCTCAGGTGTAGGTAGGCGGCGACCGGGCGGGTGATCCGTGTGAAAAGCCATGGGGCCGTTGAAATTCCAAATGGTAGGACCGCCCACTGGTAATGGGTACCATTGAAAAAGAACCTGAGGAAGCGCCGGTCGTTGGGGTGGATGGGTACATGAAGATAGGCATCCTGGATGTCGAGGCTGATCAGGGAATCGCCAGCTGAGATTCTCGTCCTGAGCAGTCGCAACATCGTCATTCGGAAGTAGGGAGGACGTTCCAGGTAGTGCCGGTTGAAAGTGGAGAGATTGTGTATCATGCGCCAGCTGGTGGTCCCCTTCTTGGGCACCAGAAACACCGGAGAGTAAAATCCTGGGTGTCGAGCCGGGTCGTGTACGATCTCTATGGCCTCCTTCTGCAGTAGGGAAACGATGCTGTCGTGAAGGGGCCGAAGCTGGTGGGGTGAATAAGCGGCTGTTGACGGAGTAGACGTCAGAGGAGGCAGCGCAGACATTGGGAGCCGGTACCCCTGACGGAGGACGTTGGTGACGAACGGGTCCTCCAGTATGGACCAGTTTCTCCAAAACCGGCCTAGTCTCCCACCCACAGGTGTGTCGGTGACCGGAACGGCTGGGGGTGGGAGGTCCCAGTCGTTGAGGTCCCGCCGGTCAACGCTTTGAGGTGGAATCGGCACCCTTGCCGGGGCGACGATCCCTTCGGGGTTGGTAAGTGCCACGGGATCTACCACGACCACGCCCTGTCCCACGAAAGGGCGAGGTATGTTTGGAGACAACCTTGAGGGAGGAACGGCGTGGTTTATAGTTGCCTTTGGAGGACTTGGCCGCTGATTGGTGCGTGACATGCTCCAAGGCTCTGAGAGCAGTTTCATCCCTGGCGAAGCTGGAGACTCGGGTGTGGGTAGCGGAGATAGCACCATTAAAAAGGGTAGGACCCGACCAAGGTTGTCGTAGTAAGGAACGCTTGAATTCGGAATCCCAGTCCGTGGAAGTCAAGTAACCCAACCGTCGAGTAGTGGTGATCTCCGCAAGCGCAGCTCTCAGGTGATTGCGCATGTGATCGATCTGGTGAAGTTGAAATGTCATAACCGTGCGCAAGTGGTCGATCCTGTAAGGATTGGATTCAGCGAGATCCTGGTCAATGGCTCTGGCAGATGAGGCAAGTGTAGATAGTGGCTTCAAAGTACGGCGCAGTTCTGTTTCCATGAAAGCGAGTCGGGAGTCCGGCATACGTATGGTGACGGACTGGGAAGACCCGGTCATTCGATGTAAGTCCTCGTCAAGGATATGTGCACCGTCGGCCACGTCGAAGGAGTGGACGGGGAAATCTTCCCGCCGGAAACGAGGAGCCTTGAACGACGGCGTGAGGGACAACTTAGCGAAGTCCTCGTCCAACGCCGTAACCAGGTCAGTGAGCATTGGGTCGGGTGGTAGAGTAGTCGGATTAGACCAGATCGTCAACTTTTTATCCACATCGGAGCCCGGGGAGGGAGCGACGGAGGCCAGACGGTCCGCCAACCAATCAGCAACCTGTGAAAGGCCCAAGTGTGTATCAATCTCGGGAGATGGAGGGTCATAATTGGGCGAAATGATCCTTCCGAGGAGGAGGAACGACGTCGTCGTCTATGTACGGGTGAGCGACTATGAGAGCGACTACGAGAGCGACGACGAGAGCGACGACGGGAACGAGCAGACTTGGACGAGTGCCGAGAAACAGTTGGAGGCGACGAGGTGTACAATGTTCGAGACCGAGAAGCACCCGATGTGGAGGGGGCCGCTGGAATCGAAGTAACAATAGTCGGGGCCGTCAGCGTCACCGGCGTCGCAGGAGGCACCGTCGGCGCCGCTGAGGTGGGTTGAGCTTGCGCAAACAATGACTGCATCCAAGCTTGCATCCAAGATGGATCCATGAACGATGACGGAAGGGCATGTCCATAAGTAGGAGGCGCAGCACAAGTCAAAGGCGCCGAAGTAGTCAGAGGCGCCGTATACATCGAAGACATCAGAGGCGCCGGACCAAGAGGCGCCGGATACATCGGAGGCGCCGGACCAAGAGGCGCCGGATACATCAGAGGCGCCGGACCAAGAAACGCCGGACCAAGAGGCGCCGGAGGCGCCGGGTACATCGGAGGCGCCGGACCAAGAGGCGCCGGAGTTGTCGTCGTAGATGGTAGAGGTGACAGGAAACCCGAAACGGGCGATGCTGCAGACGATGATGTCGAAGCAGGCGACGGTAAGGGTGGTGTAGGAGACCGTGTACGGTCGGATGTCGTGCCATGGGAGGCAGACTCTACGTTGGATGGCATGTTGGAGAGTCGACGCACACGCTGGGTGAATCGTTTCCGAGACACTCTCAGGTAGGCGATGAAGGAGACTGGCGACAGGGGACTACAATAACTGCAATGCTCTGTGAGGGTACACTGGGTTGTACAGTCCAGGCAGCAGGGGTGGGGGTCCCGTCCAGATTTATTCCCGCGGCAGCGAGAGCAGCGAGACATACTGAAATTGAAGCAAAAAACATAACGATGTGTAAACACACAACGTGAAACATAATGTAACTCAACATAACTTATTCTTGTTACAAAGTTAATAAGAGCAAACAATTACGCTTCAAACACGCCAAAAACAATCATTAAACTTAATGTAAAACTCCAACCATAGAGCGAATTCAAGACACAAAACACGAAAGTACGTGGACACGTAGTGAATCGCAACAGGGCGGGAAAAAATGGCGGTAAACCAAAATGGCGGGAAACAACAATACGCTCGGAAAAACCGTGACGAGAGTCACAACCCGAGTGAGAAACGTTACAATATAATGAAGGCAAAGGTAATACAGCAGACTTTTGTCGTAGTAAACGAAAGAAAGTCAGGACCAAGAAAGCTTTAATAATTCCACTGAGGGATACAGTTCACGTCCGATCCATGTGGTTGACAAAGCAGTTATGTGTTTTGACATGACGTCATGTCTTCCGGGTCACGTGCCGACTGTGTGGGAGGGGGCGCTGCTTCCTGGACAGATGGAAACAACTTTCTTCAGCAGCTGGATCTCACACAGTTCGTCTCTCTGTCAAAGACAGCAGTAAATGCAATACGGAGTAATGCAGGATAAGTTAAAAAATTTGCTTGTTATTCCTTGTTCAACAATTCACCCATATCCCCACTTCGCATGCATACAATGGTACATAAATAACCATCATAACACTAGCTTTCTCTGAAAATGTGTTTGATGAAAATAATGGGCACCAGTCGTAAAACATCAAACATCCTGGAGAAATTACAAAAAGGTTTGGCACCAGAAAAATTAATATTCATATACAAAATATGTGGCCTAAGGAATAAATGTGTTGTTCAAGTTAAAAACGTTACAGCCCTTGTTTGATGTTTTTAAACATGGTGCACAGTACAGTCAATTCCTTGGAACCAGTACAGATGACATTTTTATTACATCCTACAGGGATGAATTTCTTATCAAGTTAAAAAGCCCCATCAAGAAATAAATAATAAACAGAGTCCATGTCTTTGTGTTTGATCTGATGAGGATAAGATTTGTTTCAAGAGCACTTCTATAAACGTGTTTTATGTGTCTTTATGACACTATGTATTCATCAGGCAAGTGCTGCACTTGTGCATTTGATGTCCTGCTATGTTTGGAGTGCATATCCTTTGCTTTTGTTCAGGCAACAAGTTAATTTTTGTTTTATGGTCCCACCACCCATACTGAAAAGGGTCTAAAAATATATATTAAACATAAAAAATATTTATTTCAATTATGTGTCCTGCTCGAAATATAGACCCTCATATACAATACAAAAGTGATCATGGGGCCACCTGCAGTTTTAACTCCATGGCCGAATGACTTTCATACAAATAAATACATGATTGACATTTATTTTTTATTTAATTTTGACTGACGTGTGAAAAAGCTGTAATAAATCTGCAAAACATAAAATCATAATAGTGTGGCCTAAAAGATGAATGCAAAAAGTCATCCATAGTGGTTTAAAAAAACACTTGTGCCCACTGAAGTCGGATGGATGGTCGGATGGAAGGAAGACAGTCCAATCCTTGATCTCGTTTGATCAATCCACACCGGCGTCAGACACCATAGTCCAAGTCAACAACACAGTTCTGTACAGGTTGTATTTAGGCTGAGAAAAGCCTCTTTGCTGCTAAAGGACCAAATTCTACCATTTTTTCTTAATATCCTACCTTGTACTATGCAGTCATCATCAATGAAGATGATTCTGGACCTCAGCTTAGGAAAGAGCTGCGGGAGGTAGTATCTGGCATAGTTCATCTGAGAGGAGACAAGGAACAACGTCATATTTCTGGTACTAAACTGACAACCTCAGGAAATAATCTTGTCCATGTTAAAAACAAATGTGTGTGTGTGTGTGTGTGTGTGTGTGTGTGTGTGTGTGTGTGTGTGTGTGTGTGTGTGTGTGTGTGTGTGTGTGTGTGTGTGTGTCTGTGTGTCTGTGTGTGTGTGTGTCTGTGTGTGTGTGTCTGTGTGCATGTTCGCCCACTGAGATACCACGCTGCTAAGATGAACATCCTACTCAGTTGCTAAAGTGCACTCCTACTTTTCCATATAGCCCAATGAGTGAGTGAGTTGGGTTAAACACTGCTTTGAACAATATTCCAGTTACTTCATGGCGTGTCAGCTTGATGTAGGAGAAAAGCCTGAAGTGATAAAGGTCTTAGGTGTCACCACTTTAGTGAAAGCCATGAGCATGGGTACGGTGCTAACATGATCAGGTCGAACCGAGATCCGCACTCACAGTCAACTGGGACACAACTCTGTACAGTGAATTGTGGCGCCTTACGAAGCCTTAGACGACTGGGCCAACCATGCCCCCTACTTTCCACAGCATGCTCAGAAATCTAGAACTTTAACTACCACAAAGGGAGACAACTACATACTGGACTTGCAAGTTCTTGGCGGCCGCCTCTCACTTTAACCTTCCCTGCCACCATCTCCGCAGGAAAACCCTTCAGCTCATAGTTTATAGACTTGAGTTTGGTCTCCTTAATCCAGATACTGAAATCAGATTGAAAATAGATTTGCACGTTAGAGAGAAACATACAGTGCTTTCTGATTTGCTTGGATAAAAGTAAAATATTTTTGGACGTGACAGCCATTGCCAAAAGTTTCAGCTGCAAATTTTGAAACACAAACTACAAATTGAAAATACAAAAATAGAACCACAAGGCTCTCACCGGAATAACATAGAAACAATGGCGACCATGTGTTTACATTGATTGAAATTTTGTGAGCATGTTTTAGAGACACAATAACTGGGATCATTCGTACAAAGTTTCAGGTCCAGAGACCTTGTAGTTTCATGAGATCATGTCAACAATGTAAAAACACAAGAAACAACAGTCATCAGAAGATGACAAATCCCCCCAGCCCCGACAATTGCAAGGGGCACCACTTCAGCCCCTGATTAATACATGTACCATGTTTGGACCTTTCATGGTTTTCAAGTTATGCTCCGGAAACGAAATAGGGACAGACAGAGCAGAAGATGACAATAACCCTCCCACATTATATGCTGGTGGGATAAACTGGGGTACTTTCTGAATTCAACTTAAATCTCATCTTCTCGAGGCAAGGGAGTTAATTGACTGTAAAAGACGAGTTTCCACCCATGCCGAACAAAGCTGGAATTTCTGGACTCAATCGCCACCAAATTCCACCTCTCATATCACTTGCATTTGCATCAAACAAACGGCAGCACTCTGTCAAAACCATGTAATCGCTAGTCAAAATCTATATTGTGAAGAAACGGGTTTTACTTGTGAAGTGCATCAAATCATGTGAGCACTTTGATTTAATTTGACATGTAAAGATTTGGAAAATATCTGTTGTTGTCGATTTGGCTGTACACATGCTTTGCAAATCCTGTTTGGCAGTTTACAAACCGGATGTTGATTTTATTATGTGATTTTGATTGGACTATTCATACACTTGTTAGTCCAGCCAAAATATAACTCCATAAATCCAGCCCAGTTTGGCAAGGGTAAAAACTGGACATTTATGACAGTTAACTCCCTTGCCTCGGGAAGATGCATAATCATGTGATAATTGTATCGTATAACATAAAGGGTTATTATAATAATTCTATTCTCAAAATACCCTCCAGACTCCATAATTCCAGTTTGGCAAGGGTAAAAACTGGACATTTATGACAGTTAACTCCCTTGCCTCGGGAAGATGCATAATTGTTTCGTATAACATATAGGGTTATTATAATAATTCTATTCTCAAAATACTCTCCAGACAGTATGAATATTATTTCCTGTACATACCTGATCTGGTCCATGCTGTCCAAGTCAGAGACGATGTGGAACATGACGGGGCTCTTGGTGTTGGAGATGATGCTGTTGATGAGGGCGATGGCACCACCCACAGTGTTCTTGGACGTAGTGATGCACACATGGACAACGTCGGGGGAGGAGGGGTTGATGTTGACGCTGCTGGACAGTTTGTCCTTGGCTGTGTCCTCAATAGATCCAGCTCCTCCATGAAGTTTCTCTACAAACAAATAGAGCTCAATAATGAATGAGTGAGTGAGTTGGGTTTAACGTTGCTTTGAACAGTGTTCCAGTTGTCTCAGACACTTAGCACTTGGTGAAACCCATGAACATGGGTCTGGTGCTGACAAACCTAGAAACATTATCACGACAAAACCGTGATTCATACCCATAATCATAGGTTTCTAGTGTGCCCAAGGGACGCAACTCTGCACAGTGAAGTGTGGCACCTTAGGCTACTGGGCCACCCATGCCCCCGGGTTCAATAAAAGGGATTTAAAATGTACAGAAAATTGTCTATTCAAGATGTCTAGGGCAGAGTTTGTTGTGTAGAGTTGTGTCCCTTAGGTATGCCATTGCCCAGATCGAGTGCTGAAAGATTCAAAATTAAGTTCCGGTGTCACTATTTTTTTTAACATTCGAATTTTTATATCAGATTCTTTGTATTTTAAATTAGGAGATATTTTAACATGGTATTCAACATGATCAATGCCAAAGTGTAAAAACTAAGCATTAAAGCCTCTTCGATACTCTTGATCGGTCTCGTTATCAGTGAAACACCAGCCACCTTGACCAAGCAATCACATCTAATAAGAAGTTCACCTAGTGATATATGTTCATATATTGTTGGAAAATCTACTGAAAAGAGTTATACTGCATGACAAATTTGGGCTTTTTTAGCACAAACATTTTTACAATATTACAGTGTTTCGCGTTTTAATACACACAAACATGAGTTTGAACGCACATGCATATCATATGTAGGTCTTATCGACACAGTGACTGAACCAGTATCAATTTCATTATAGTGGCTTTCCTCTCAGTAACATGAGAAAATACTGTGAACAACTTCCGTTTTCGAAGCTTTGTATCAGTGTATAAACTTCCCCAAAACTTCAGTCAGACAACCGGAAGGGCAAAATTGCAAAGTTACCAGACCAGATAAAATGTTGCCAGGACAAATTTTCTAGCAAATGAACCAAAGTAACAAAAGGGTAAACATAAGAATAAGACTGTTTAATGTTAGATCTCAGAAAATAACAATCAATTGGTGCATTGTCAACTTGGTAACTTTTAACTCTCGACCATCGGGTGTGCAACTTTCCAAAACTGACCATTGGTCAGCAAAATGAACTGTCTTGGACTGTGGGGTATTATACACACTGCTTGTATGACAAGATGTGGGAAGATTTGTTCAATGTTGGGTATCATTAGAAAGCTCTGAACATCAGTGTTACAGTAGCCTCACCAGGAGTAGTTTCTAGTTGCAACATGCAATATTATTGGTTTCTAATGTCGCTTTTTTGTCGTAATCTACGAGAGGGATGTGATTGGTCAAAGTCAAGTGCATAACCTGAGGCAGATAATCAAATTACAGCAATGGATACTGTCCTTATAATATTTCAAATATAAATCTTTGGTAAAATCACTGTGAAATATTAAACCATGTACATAGTCAACCGTGTGACACAAAGTTATTCATTTACATAGTTAAACAGTTCTACCTACTGGCTAAGGATCCTTTAGTTCGAAGATGGAGGAAATCTGGAATAATATCCGGGAACCAGATATAGCAGAAAATACTCAACCACACCACAAGCAGGATACCTCCAACTGGAAACAAGGAAAAATCATGACTTTCTAACTGTTGCACACTCTGACATAAGCTACAATAGTTAGGACTGTCACTGCTGAACTGATCATCCTATCAAAGTGCCACTCTTATACTATTTCCATACACAAAACATGAATATCAATACAATTGCCCATACCACTTAAAAAAAGACTCATGCTTGTGAAATGAGTGTATACTTTGTCACAAATAGCTGCATGCAATCTGAATCATTTAGATGAAGTTTCAAAATATTATTTCAAACATAATATCAAGAAAACAGCCTTTCTGAAAGCTATTTAACATACAAGAGATACTGAAATGCAAGCTAGCTTGTTTCTCATGCATCACAAAGGTGGAATCACAGATCCTTTGGTCTGACTGGGAAGGGGGTATATTTTCACACCTTTCACAATCATAGTTTATCAAATTCTTTAATTCTTTTCATAACAAGGTACAGTACAAATTATCATATGGTCAAAATTCAAACTCTGATGTAATGTGTACGTTTTTTAGATCAACCAGTTTTTCAGTGTGATCCATGCAAAATTAAAATACTGTTTAGACTTTCTTATAATAGGGTAATATAAGGCTCATTTGTCCTGGTCAAAACAGACCAGTGGAATATAAAATTTAAAACAAACACCATTAATCTTAAGTCATGTTCAAAATATCACTACTTTTGTCAGCCATACTATAGAAGGGGTGAACCAACTGACATAGAATATGTTTGTTGCATACACAGATGGGGACCTCTCCATAAGACAATGACAGTCACAGATGAATCGGGGGGCCATTCCGACAGGTGGGTCCTGAGTAGGACCCGGGTACCCACCGGATTACCCACATCATTGGTTAGTCATGTGATATATTGTTGAATGACAATAAACTCCATGGTTACACAAGTCGAAAAATATTCACATTTCTTTCTGACTGGGCACGCATTCCTTCCGACTTTTATGTGTTTTAAAGGGGAAGTGTACACGCAAAAATCACTTTCTTTCTTTTTCTAAACAAAACGCAATTTTAGAATTAGTTAATATCTGTGTTTGAAAATGTAAACTCATTTTTTTCACAGTGAAAGTAGGAAGCTCACAATAGTGTGAAAATGATATGCCGTTATGAGGCCTTCGTTATTCGAGCTAAACAGGCCTGAGTTATCCCCCTTAGATTATGACGTAATTGGTGCCAATTCAACTGGGTCCCTGTCTATTCTGAACGCAAAAGATATCAAGTACAAGTTTTCAGTAAAACAACATGGCCTACGACACACTCCGGCGCAGTAGTGACTCAGCATAACACAATTCTGGCTGGCATCTGAGACGCTAGAATCACAAAACTGTACCTACACCACGTGAAGCGGCTCTAACAAAGCATGATGACGTCATAATGTTTATCAATTGGCACCAATGACGTCATATTGCAAGGGGCATAAGCCATGGTGTTTTTGTTATGGAAATAGAACACTTGGTAAATGTGAAAAATATAAATCGTTTTAATGCAAAAAATATGTTAATTAAATATGATGTTTTTATATTTTTGTCTATGACACTTCTATGTTAACACTTTTAATGTGGAAAAAGTACAAGAAAAATTGGTTCATTTCCGTGTGAACTTGCCCTTTAATAAAGAAAAGCTTCTACCATGTCTACAACTTCAGTGTAAGCATAATGAAATTCTTTCATGCGTGTATCTAAGTTGTTTCTGCCAGGGCGCCGTGAAACAATTCTCATTGGACATTTCTAAGCCAACTTGAGACCTACAGCAGGTACCCGGATAGGGTTGGATAACAGGGGGTCAGGTACCCGGGTAGGGTTGGATAACAGGGGGTCAGGTACCCGGGTAGGGTCGGATAACAGGGGGTCAGGTACCCGGGTATTACATGTCGACTCATCCCAACCCTTGTATTTATGTATGTTTGTAGATGTATCACTGGGCCAGAGAAGATAATGTGTAGAAAATGAACATAAAACTAAGGAACTTGTTTTTCGTTTTCAATCTGATATTTCACTGGTCTATTTTGACTGGCCTAGCCAAGAGCTGTGAGAGGGTCCAACAGTCAAGACAATAGGGTTGACGTATTGGCACATAATCGTACTTCAATATATCGCAATACAGAGAGCTGTATGTGAAAAATATTGCAAAACATATTGGGAGCCAAAAGATATTTATTTGTACTGTTCAAATGGTACTTCTTCATTCAATAATCCAGACTTGAGATTGCAAGATGGGTAGTACAGATTAAACGAGACTACCTATACCGTCATCAATATGGAATGTAAATGTAAACGGAGTGGTGCATGTGCTGTTTACATGGTTTAGATAGGAACCCAGTCCATCCAGATGTCTCAAGAAAGTAGATATAATTTTTATAATTATATATTAATACTTCTGTGACTGTATTGGAAAATATTGATACACATGGGTTGTATTGAGATATGTGTAATGCTGACGGTCATATTCCAATATATTGGTATAAATCTACTAGTTATATCGCACACCCCTACAAGGAAACACCCATGGCTCACAGACACTGGCTGGGACTTGTGTTGAAGGTTGGACCCACTCACAGTTGTCGCCTACATCAGGGGTTTGTGACATTTTGCTTTCACAATTAGGCCAACAAGGGTTATAACGAAAACGGCACCTCAGCAAAACGTCACCGGGCGAAAACGGCACCGATTGGCGAAAACGGCACCTCGACTCAAGCGAAAATGGCTACTATTGCCTGGCGAAAACGGCACCTTATTTTTTTTTTACCTTGGTCAAATAAGTGCTATTAGTGTTAATTAGACCCCTACTCCAATTTACTCGCCGACTGATTGGGAGGCGCAGTTAACTTAATGTGAAAACACTATACGCTTTCAAGTTTTAAGTACCTTTACTCAATTTAAACTGAAACTGTATTTAAGAGGCCTAACATGGTGCTGTCAGATCACAATTATTCACAATGGCCTTTCGATGTGTTGCATGAGAGAAGAATGTCAGAAAACAACAACATGCTGTGATAACTGTGACCATGTAAATAAACCATATATATTACTACAAAAATTGTTCTTATCCTTATTAAAAATAGAGGTGCTGTTTTCACCCGACACATAGTAGCCGTTTTCGCCAAATGCGGTGCCGTTTTCGCCAGAGAAATCGGTTACGTTTTGCTGGGGTGCCGTTTTAGCCTGCACCCGGCCAACAATAGGGCCAATCTCTGGTGTCAGGCCAAGTCTAAGAAAATTTACGTCCAACGTTTTTACCGTTACTTAGCATGTTCAGCATCTACCTTTTATTCAGCAAAATCAGAAATGTTTTCTACATACTAAATAGCATTGCATTCTCTGGGACGATTGGGGCAGGCCTGGGCCCACTTGCACAAAGCAATCTTAGCGCTAAGACTGTTGTAAGCCTATGCTGAAGTATGAGAGTTACGATCATCTTAGCGCTAAGATCGCTTTGTGCAAGTGGGCCCTGATCTCTATGTTCTAAGCATGGTATTGTAGTTAGTCTAAGTTTGCGTTGCATGCAATCAGTTTACGTCTCAGCTTTGTCGGAATGGTTAGTGTGAATAATATTGATGCATGCATACTGTAAAGGAAACCTTTCTTCGCTGAAAGGACGTTCATCTTGTGCGTTGATAACTTTACAAAAGATGTACACAAAATCCCAGCTGACACGTAGCGACAGCTTGCTTACATGGCAGATCGAATATTGAAGCAACCGGATGTTGAGAGTTATCTCCCCAAAATGGCAGCTTCGTTAGTACACGCGGATAAATTGTGAACTTAACATTTTAATACCAACTGTTTTAGGAGGTACATTGCTGTGACAACACGATGAATATATACAACGAAACGGCGAAAATAGTAAAATCAATCAAGCAGAAGAAAGGAACCGTCAAATCTCTCGTATTTGCCTCTCGTTTTCATGTAAGAAACAATGCCTCTTTTTTCGCGCATGATCATGCGGTTACATATGTGTTGATATCGCTGTGTATGGATTCGACAAACATGTTCTCTTTGTGAACTAAAAATATTCGTAGATGATGTGTAATATCCCTAGACTCACTTTCCCTGAGATCATGAATAATGTAATGTGATTCCCCCTGATTTATTGTATGATATTTTTAAAGAGAAACAACACTAACAGTTTTAAAGTCACTTCACTTCAAGCCCAGATATGGGTGTATTCTCTCACCTTCAATAAATCTACTTATATGAACACTTACTTTTGACAAATAAGCTTTGCAAGATTTCAGTGATTGATCAATCAACATATTATCGGCTAGCCCTTTGAACTTCACTTCATTTCAAGCCCAGATATGGCCGTTTTTTCTCAGCTTCAGTAAATCTACATATATGACCACTTACTTTTGACAAATGAGCTATGCAAGATTACAGTAATGGATCAATCAACATATTATTGGTTAATCCTTTGATCGATGTCTTTTTTCGTAACTCAACTGACAATGCCTCTCTTGCTGCGTTGCAACATGCATATAACATAACATGTTATACATTCACCACATCAGACTTGGATTTAAAAATCAGTTTAAGGTTAAATAATTACCCCAGACATAAGAATTGCCAAATGCAAATCACTGATTGCTGTCCTTAACACCCTCATGGGTGAACATTATTGAGTTATTTTTCATTGTCTTTGTCAGGTAACCTGAGTGATTCTTGCACTAATTATTCTTGTAATAAAGTCATAAACTGAGCATCAAGAGAATCATGACAAGTACAAAGGTGGGGTTTATGTCATGAAACATGCATGACAAGAAGGGAGAAGTAATTGTTGTATTTTTGCAATTTGCCTGAAAAATAAGGGTTGTTTCCGTTTTGAGTATATGAACTGAACTTCGTTGTTGCAAAAAAAATACATACACATATCTGCAGTACACTAAAGTACATAATTGTACATACACATTCACAGACAAATTTGCAAGGTGAAAGGTTTAAGTAAGCATCAACTAATCAAATGCAAGGATTCAAGGGGATTCCCCCATGCTGTCAAAGAGATTCTCCCTCGGCCTGAAGCCCAGTTTGTTGGGTTGCTGACGCTAATTAGCATCTAGTGATTACACGGAATAATTAAAACGGTGCTGATCATACAACTGAGAGTTGGAGTGTTGTTCCCCTTTAATGTTGATAGTCTGCAACTGTAGAGTTGTCATTATATTGACTGAAAAGTATCCCAATGAAGTGAACAATGAAGATCAGGGGTAGAATAGGTCTTCAGCAACCCATGCTTACCGTAAAAGTGACTTTGCTTGTCGTAAGAGGCGACTAACGTGATCAGGTGGTCAGGCTCGCTGACTTGGTTGAAGCATGTCATCAATACCAACTGCGTGGATCGATGCTCATGATGTCAATCACTGGATTGTCTGGTACAGACTCGATTATTGACAGACCGCTGTCATAAAGCTGGAATATTGCTGAGTGTGGCGTAAAACACCAAACCGACCAACCACAATTTATATCGATTAACAATATGATTAATTATTGTGTATGATTATAGATCAAAATAACCTTTATAGACCTGCAATTAATCAACTAAATGGTAAATATGAACTAGGCTGCTTAAAATGTTTATAATGGATTTTTTCTGCCTTAGTCCATGTCAACCACCAGTTAAATATATCTCTTGACAGTAAAGAAAAAGAGGTAGGTCAGGTAAAAGAAGCCAGGCCAAGTCAAAATATAGTTAATAACTCCTTTTCTTATTTCATTACTGTTGAGTGGCATGAGCACAATGTGTCTTGAGTTGCCGAGTTCCTGAGGCAAGGGAGTTAACTGACTAGAAAAGTCCAATTTTTTAACTTAGCCTGCATTACTCCGTATTGCAGTTACTGCTGTCTTTTGACAGAGAGACGAACTGTGTGAGATCCAGCTGCTGAAGAAAGTTGTCCCAACCAGTACAGGAAGCAGTACCCTCGCACAGTCGGCACGTGACCCGGAAGTCATGACGTTGCATCAGAACACATAACTGCTTTGTCACCTCCACGGACAGGCGTACTTTGTATCCCTTGTGGAAATTAAAGCTTATTGTTTCTTTATTTTGCGTGTTTCTACATTAATCGTATGCTGCTACATTGTTACCTGTGTATGGGTTGTTACCTTAAGTGTCTTCCATTCGTAATTTGTAACGTTTATTGCTCGTTTGTGGCTCTAGTCACAGTAATTTACGGGCGCAATGTTGTTCCATTATGTTTGCCATTCACCACGTGGCCATGTAATTTCGTGTTCTTTGGCTTGGGTAAGACACTAAATTTATGTATTTTGGTTTGGCTGTGCCTTTTTCGCTACCTTTTAGCGTTTTGTTTGCTCTCATAAACTTCAATAAAATGCAAAGTATTTGAGTTACATTATGCTTCCCGTACTTTGTGGTTTTGCTTAAATTCCAGATTTTCTGCCTCGCTGCACTTGTTACCGTGGGAACAAATCTGGTCAGGGCGGCCACTTCTGCCGTGATTGTACGACTGTACGATTGTACGATTGTATCAACAACATCGTCCCTTCCGGTGACGCCCGTAATGGGACTGTTCTTCCATCTCCTCCGCCATCTACGTTGACAGCAGCGGCGCTGTCGGCACTCCCGACGCCACTGGCGCCTCCCAGCGGCTGAGTATCTCAGCCGAGCTTCCTAGCGCCTCCGGTGCTACCAACACTACCGGCGCTCCCAGGAAGCAACACCAGCTTTCCGGCGCTCCCAGGAAGCAACACCAGCTTTCCGGCGCTCATGGCGCTTTAACAAACTGAGATCACAGCTGAGTATCTCAACTGATCTTCTACTTCAGCATAAGGGGCGCCGTCGGCATTTGCCTCTCCGACGCCACTGACATCTGCTTCTATTACTGACATCTCATAGATCATCACACGGAGAAGCAAGGTGAAACCACGTCTTTCAATTGTCACCGCTCCTGTCGCTGCTCTCTCTTCGGGATCGCGACTATCGTTCAACTTCCTGGGAGGAATCAAAACTCGTGCACACCACTTGTATGTCTACCACACAGTTTATTGAGGATTGTCTGTGTGTGGAGATTGCACTTCATTTCCGGCTCCAATGCAGCTTTCTCGGGTGCTGCACAGAGTGATTTACTTGTCACGTGTCAAGTACTCAGACTGTCAACACTTCCGACTGGAATAAGGTCAACCTACCATGGCAAGCAGTGCAATATATTTCTACCGATTGGTTTGGATGCTTACATGACGCATGGTGCAACCACCCAACCAAACGCTTGTCGCAGTCCATCCATGCACAGATGATGGAAAAGATAGACCTCCCCTGCCAACACGGCTGTCGCGAGGAACCTCGTTACATCGCCCCCTCGCTATAAGAACGATAGCGCTTATACAGCGTTCAAGGGATGGTAAAGATCGCCTTCCTTCGTACGGTTTGATCTTAAAAACTAAGACACCTTTATTTCTTCAGCCTTGGCTACCAGATCCCTGTTGACTACATGCCTAGTATCGTGATGTTGTCCTTCATCGTCACCTCGATATAACAACAGGAGCGTTTATACGACGCTCAGGGGATGGAAACGATCACATTACTTTGTGCAGTATGGTGCGATCTACCAGAACCACAGTTATACAGATTTCCTCATTCTCTTATGGACACATTGCCTCAACTTCTGACTACCCAGTTATGTCAATGCCTCGACGGTCGATTGTGGAGCTGGTTTATTTTGTCTACATGGGGTTTGGTTTGCAGGCGAGCACACCTCTACATGTATTGTCTTGAGAGTACACGATCGGAGACCCCTGTTGCTGACTTTTCAACTTTGCAATCTTGTAGATGACCTCATTTAGCATGACTTCCCGCTCTTCCACTGCCGCTTCCACCTTGTCAGTGGCTTGTTTTCTGGGATTTGCCCACACCAGCCAACGCTGTGATCCAGAAATCAACACCATTGGCACAGCAACCTCCTCGAGATAAAAGTGCTTATCCTGGACGTCACTTGCTGGTAGAGAATTCTCGGTCATGCCCTGTTGATCATGGACAATATCACCATGGTGTTGTGTTTGAGGAACCAGGGTACTCCCCACTCTCCATCCCTGCTAAACCAGACCTTCCGCTTCCTTGACTTGGTGGTCAGCCTGGACCTGTACTTTAAGAAAAGGACCATGCGTCATGTAACTATGCAAACCAATCGGTAGAAATACATTGCACTGCTTGCCATGGTAGGTTGAGAGCACCAGGTTGAGAGCATGTTCTGGCACAGGCTCTGTCCAGGCAGGACTAGGCGGCTCCCACCGAATGGAAGCTCCACCCAGAGGTCTTCGCCAGACTAAGTTAAACGATCGACACCCCAAGCATCGATCTGTTCCCCACATCTCAGATCTGCCAGCTGTTGCCTTACATTTCACAGGTGCCGGATCCGGCCGCAGTCAACGCCTACAGTTTTTCCTGGGAAGGATTACACGTGTACGCTTTCCCGCCTAAAACCCGCATGGTTTCGTCTGCACGCCTGGCACATCTGCAGAAAGTCCCATGAGCCAAGGGCTATTCAGCTAGAGCGGCCAAGGCTATTGTTTCAGCCCACCGTCCATCTACATGGTGACTGTATGATGATAAATGGTGCACGTTCCAGGCATTCTGTTCAGACAAACACCAGGATCCTGGCTGAGTTCCATCTGTACTTGCGCAGCACCTGTCAGTTGAAAGGCTCTACCATCTCCACATACCTGGTCGCCATCAACTCCGTTCTTGCCAACTCGGATGATCGGAGAATGACGAAAATTCCCAAACTTCAGGACAGGCTGCGATCGTTCTGTCTTGAAGACCAGAAAGCCAAGTTCAGACCGCCTGCGTGGGATCTCAATGTGGTCTTAAACGCTCTTCGGACGGCTCCCTTCAAACCATTCCACTCGTCTTGCTCCTACGACCTAAGGAAGAAGACCGTGTTTCTACTGGTTTTGGCTGCTGCCGCTCGGGTCAGTGAGCTCCACGCCCTTGACGTCTCCTGTGTTCCGTGCGAACGCGGTAATCAGGGCACTGTTCATCATGCTGGGATGGGACTTCCTCATAAAGACTCAACTCCCAGGACAGCCTGATCGATCATTCATTATCCCCTCCCCCCTCGTCCATTGTGGGTGCCGAGGATGAGGAGGAGCGTTTATTATGCCCAGTAAGGGCACTGAAGGTTTTCTACGACGATCTAAAGCCTGCCGCAAGGAAACACCTTTTTCTGCCGGTCTCCCCCTCGTTGCAGTCATTGGTCAGCCGGAATACTTTTTCCCTGTGGCTCCAGGCAGTCATCCTCCAAGCTTATAAAGCAGCCGGTTTGGACTCTCCCCACAAGGCTATCAACCCACACATGATCAGGGCAATTGCATTTACAATGGCTCTTCATAGTATAACTGTTCAATCCAGTCGCTCATGGCAGCCTCTTCTGACACCGCCTTCACCAACCACTACCTCCGTGATGTAGCCTTGGAAGATGTCGCTGGTGTTCACAGTTTCGGTCCCTGGTTGTTGCCCAACAGATGTTGCCCATCACCGATGCCACTGATTCTCCGATACCCTGAGTGGGGCCTGTCGACCTCTCTGGTGTTTATCACCCCAGACAAGAGGGCTCTTTTGCCTTCCACATTCGCTCTAGTTTTTGGCTACCCACCTCATTCTGTTTATGTCACCTAATCAGGTGTTACTTTTTGCATCAACTCTCGTTTCCTGACGACAGGAATGGTAGTTGATGTTGACACCGACGCCAATGCCACTGATTCTCCGATATCCCGTGCAGGGCCCGTCGACCTCTCCGGTGTTCCTCACTTCCAGGCTAGAGGGCTCTCCTGTGTTCTGCATTCGCTCTTGGGAATGGTCGTAGATATTGACACCGACGCCAACGCCGCTGATTCATCTATACCCCGAGCAGGGCCCGTCGAACTCTCTGGTGTTTATCACCTCAGATTAGAGGGCTCTACTGTGTTTTGCTTTTGCTCTTTAGTAAGTTCTAGTGTTTGGCTACCCGCCTCATTCTATTTCGGTAGCCTATTTGGGGTTTTCCTTTTTGCATCGACTGAAGACAGGAATGGTTGTAGTTGTTCCAGTCATCACTTGTATGTCATGCAGATTCATCGGACCTTGACAAGAGTTTATTATGGATAAGTTAAAAAATTTAGTAAAATCTAAATATTTTTTACATTTGTATACTTATCCTGCATTAAGAAGTCTAAGTGCCCTCCCTTCACTACACTGCCTCCCCACGAAGTTTCAGATGTTATGTTTAAAGCAGTTATGTGTTTTTATGTGACGTCATGACTTCCGGGTCACGTGCCGACTGTGCGAGGGTGCTGCTTCTTGTACTGGTTGGGACAACTTTCTTCAGCAGCTGGATCACACACAGTTCGTCTCTCTGTCAAAAGACAGCAGTAAATGCAATACGGAGTAATGCAGGATAAGTATACAAATGTAAAAAATATTTAGATTTTACTAAGTTTCCACCCTTGCTGAACTTGGGTGGAATTTCATGTCTCGAGTGTAGCCCAACCAGTAGCTATAACGAGTTATGTCCCTTTTATGTTCCTCTTATTGACCAATCAGATTCTACGTCTCATATTATGCATTTGCTACAAACAAAATGGCGGCACCCAGTCAAGACGATGTGTTCGATAATCTAGATCTAAATTGTGATAAAACGGCATCAAATCATTTGAGCACCATGTTTATAAATATGAAATGATTTGAAAAATATCTGTCAATACCCAGTTGACGGTACACATGTTTTGCAAATCCCGCAGTTGACCGAAAACTACACATTTAAATCCATGTTGTTTACGAACCAGATGTCAAGTTCATTACGCGATTTTGATTGGATTATGCATAGACTCGTTAGTCCAGCCAAACTCCAGTAAAACTCCAGAATTCCAGCCTAGTTGGGCAAGGGTGGAAACTGGACTTTCACAGATGCCTCTACAGATGTTGATGTGGTTTACTGTGCTGTGCATCACTGGGCTTTTCTCCCACATTAAGCAGACACGCCATGATGAAACTGAAATATTGTTCAAAATGGCGTTTCACCCAACAAACTAACTTGTCATGCTCATTGCTATTTATCTTCCAGAACAAACGCAAGCTTTATGCCTTGGTGTGTGAAACCCTGAAGTTCTGGCAGATACTGAGTCTGTTACTGAAGAGGACAAAGATTCCCCGGAAACTGACCAGCTATGAAGAGAAGCAGTACGTTTTCATCGTCCTGCTGTACGAGTTCCTCATTGGACAAGGACTTGACAAGGCTGGAATGATAGCGGTAAACTTAGCCAAAATAGTCAAGGAAGATTTTTTGTGTGTAAGATCCAAGATTGTGGTAAACAAGATTTAGTTCCTCTCCAGAAAAAGATCCACCAGAATTTTATAATGACGATGAAAGGTCCATAAGGGTCAGTGTGACATTTATAAGTAAGAAATAATTAAAATGAGCATGATAAATAAATGAGATACTGCCAACATTTTATGAGCCTTCTCTTTGTTATTTCAGAAACAGTTTTTGCGCTATAAGCTGGTGATAGAAAGGGAACATGGCCGCCTGCTGGCTGAGAAGCAAGTGTCCAGTCTGTCAGAGCTTATCCCAGAAGAAGCACACGGTACAGTCAGACATCACTGTGTTCTTTAACAGTCTGGAAATAACAAAAAGTCAGATTTTTTAGGGAGTAGTCATCACACACAGATAATTAAAATTTGATGGTGCAATGTCTGCATCATGGAAAACAGTGAATTCGTAACCACTCCCAACTCATAGACACAAGTTACAGTGGACTTGAATTGAATTTTATTGAAATTTTGTTCTCTTTGACAGGCTCTTTTGTGAATATAATATTTAAAAAATATGGAAAGTATTAGTTTTTCTTTTGCAGGATCCAATATTATTAATAAATAAATAAGAGCATTCAGTCAGTGGTGTGTAAATTGGATTAATTAATTAATTTGTTTGGCTCATGTTTATAGGATTGCAGAATTCTTTATAACGACTATTATATAAAAAAATATCTGGTATATCCAAGCCGTGAAGGACCATTGGTGAGTGAAGTATGGGATTACCCACAGATCCGAGGACCCGTGAAGATTCCGGGGTAGAATAGGTCTTCAGCAACCCATGCTTGCCGTAAAAGGCGACTATGCTTTAACGGGATAGGGTGGTCAGGCTCGCTGACTTGGTTGATGCATGTCATTGATCCCAATTGCGTGGATCGATGCTCATGATATTAATCACTGGATTGTCTGGTCCAGACTCTATTATTTACAGACCGCGTCATTTAGCCGGAATATTGCTGAGTGCGGCATAAAACAACAAACCAACCAACCAACAGATCCGAGCCGAGAAGGAGATTAATTAGAGCTTCCAAATCTATCACTGGCAGTATCATAATGCTTCAAGTATTTATTTATATTTAAAATCACAGATTTGAAATACATTTATTATTCAATATTTGTATGTAAGCAATTATTATTCAGTTCTATTTCTCAATTGTATTTGTTTTGTCTCCAAGTTCACCGTGAAATTTGTCCACAAGTTGGGAGTGGCTGCAGACTCCATGGCTACGATTTGGTTTGGTTGGGAATTCACCTACACTCCTGCATCATTACCGCGACCCTCAGTGATGCAGAGGCAGGGTCGACTCCGCAATACACGTTCATGTTGGAAGATGTTTTTGGTGTACTAGATTAGTGATGCGCCCATTCCATGTTGGGATTCCGGGTTAATATGGTCCCCAGTAAACTATGATGGTTATAAGAGGCGACGAAACAGATCAGGTGGTCAGACTCGGTGATATCTGTTAAGATCCGGGTCAGAATAAGTCTTCAGCAACCCATACTCTATGTAAAAGGCAACGGAGCTTGTGGTAAGAGGCGACTAACAGGACTTGGTTGATGCATGTCATCGTATCCTATTTGAGTGGATTGATGCTCATGCTGTCAATCGCTGGATTACCTGGTCCAGACTTGATTATTTACAGTTTGCCATCCTATTGCTGGAATATTGTGAGTGCAGCGTTAAACAACAACAAACAGACTCGGGGACTTGGTCCACTGTGTCATCGTAACCTGACAATGTTGATTGTTGCTCACAATATCGATCACTGGATTGTCAGGTCCAGACTGCCGTCATATAGCTGGAATATTGCTTTGTGTGGTGTTTGATTAACAAACAGACAAAAGGGCCCTCAGTTGATAACAAACCCAGGGATCCCTTCCCACTTAGTTGGCCCTGCGGGTATTTTCTGTGTTTCTCGTGAGGCAACTTGTCGGGTGGTCGGACTCACTGATTGGTTAACAGCAACTCATTATGTTCTGACGGCATGGATCATTGCTCATAATATATCAATATCACTGGTTTGTCTGGTCCAGACTGGATTATTTACAAACCCCCATATGACCCGTGAAGATCTGTATGAGAATTTCTCTTTAACAACTCATGGTTGTCATAAGAGGTGGCTAACAGGATTGGGGGGTCAGGCTCACTGACTTGGTTGATGCATGTCATCATATAGTCAGGCCAAAGACCAGGGTTCAATTCCATACATGGGTACAATGTGTGAAGCCCATTTTCTGGTGTCGTGATATTGCTAAAAGTGGCATAAAATCGCACACACTCACTCACTAATTTCTGTCTCCACATTTCTTTCAGCCATATCTTTGCCCAGATATGTCCGTGTGAACTTGCTGAGAACCACAGCACAGGAGGCAGCAGACACCTTCATGAAGGAGGGCTGGCGGCTTGTGAAGGGGACAAAGAAGTACGGGCATTCATCGTGTTTCACCTTCCCAAGTTGTCCATGACAGTGTTGACTAACCAAGGCCGTAGTTCACTTTTTTGGACAGGGGGGGGCAAATATTGGTACAAGTATCACTTGTCCCCAACTTGTATTTTCATGATTCAAATAAAACTGTTTTCTATAAAAATTCAGGGCAACTGACCCCCCCGGCTGGCTACGGCACTGCTAACTAAGATTTAAAACAGTTTGTTTGGTTGTTGGTGTAGGGAACATTGATGTCAAAATATCTTTTAGAATGGGATGTTCAAACAGGATTTAACCATGGTTTAAGGAAGTTGTTTTAACTTGTACCAAGCATCACCAGCTTGCACCGTGGTCCTATAAATGTATCTCTGCTGTAAAACTAATGGGAACACATATAATCTTGACATACCCACAGTTTGATGACGTCAGGCCCCCCAAAAGCAAGACATATGATACGTAACACAGGGATAAGTGATGTAGTATGGCAGAGCCCTAGATAAGCTTTTGATTCTTTGGGTATATTTAACCAGGGGTTTGATTTTGTTTAGGAGGAGGGTATTGAAATTTTTTTACCTACCTGTTTCTTCACATTTGGGTATTTAACTTAAAACCTGTTTCTTAACAATCGCTGTAAATCATTTAACACTATGTGAATAGTAGTATGTCATGCAATAATAGGTTGCTAAATCAAGACCTTTTACAAATAAGTCAGAATATCCATTTGTTCTTTCTAATCACAGCAATGATGACGCAGTGTCTGAGAACTAAGACGTTTTTAAAGGCGTGTTTTTAAAGTGGACAATTTCAACTAGTTATTGACTTGAAAATCATTTCGATGAAACTTGTAAAGTAATGGAAAAAGACAAAGTGTTTTGGATCGACCATCCTCGATTGTCCAGGTCTGTATCTTCATCTGTGATGATAAGTACCGAGGAACTCATCCAACGTTGCTAGAAATGTCTGTCCAATCAATTTACACTTGTAAGCAAGAGAAATTTTGTGCTGGGTGATGTTTTGGTGAAATAGGGTTTAACGTTGAGGTCAAGATTATTGCATTTATATGGCATCATGCATCAATTGTGTGTGTTTGTGTGCAGGTTTTACATAGCTTGCCCACTGAGGTACTGTGGCACAAGGGTAAAGGGCCAGTACATTGACCGTTCTAAAGCTTCGTTTTTTTATAACCCACAAGATTACTCTGCTCAGCTTATTCTGCGAGAGGAGTTTCTGCTCCAGTGACCACACCACAGGTGTAGGCTTACCAGGTGACCAGGCTTCTCCAGTGACCACACCACAGGTGTAGGCTTATCACGTGACCAGGCTGCTCCAGTGACCACACCACAGGTGTAGGCTTATCACGTGACCAGGCTGCTCCAGTGACCACACCACAGGTGTAGGCTTATCACATGACCAGACTTTTCTCGTTTGTAAACAAATGTGCTTTTTCTGAAATTAAATTTGGTGCACTTCACATACTGTGTTGCATATTTGTAAAGATATACTGCTACAACTGTGACACTGAGGGACATGACAGTATAGCCTTACACATCAACGTGACTGTATCGCAAGCTCTCTGTCGGGCGTGATGACAGCTCGTGGAGGTGTACAACCAATTTAAACAAAGTATAAATATGCAAATGGAAATAGTTTTCCATGTTTCAGGATATTTTCTCAATGCAAGTTAAATAGTTGATGCGACCAAGGCCTATATGTGTAAACTTGGCCTTGATAAACACTGGCTTCTAATCCAATAAAGGTAGCAATTAGTAATTCTCCGGTATGAAAAATCACGACTTTCTCTTCAATTTGCATTTGATGAAAACATAACCGAAGTGAGATAATCTGTTCAGTGTTTGCGTTGTTGGCTTCGCTGTGCAGAGCTCTATTCTTTTGGTTTGAGAATTATATTGTGCATGAACTAAAGGTGTAAAACAACACACATGGAAATTATTTCATGCGTGATTTAGAAACACACAGAACCATCAACGTACTGTCCTTTTAACATGGAGACTACACTCACACACAGTATGCTGACTTCCATGCTGACCACTTCCGGTTTTATCACCTAAATCCCGATGACTGCCTCTGACAAAATGTCTGTGTCCATGAATCAATGGTGCAATGTTACTGTCAGTGTTATCTTTAAGAGTTTGCTTTTATCTTCATCAATCACGTTATTTCAGCTTTGTCCATGACATGCAGAAGCTTGGTCAGCGAGAATTTCTACAAGATCCACATCTCCCAGATTTGCTGGTGTTCCCCCCGGGGACTGACTTCCACAAACACAGGCTGTGTACGACAGGGGAGATAATCCTGCAGGACAAGGTTAGATCATATTCATTTTAGAGTGAGGGTTGACACAGGCCTCCTGCGTATGTGATGCAATTTTTATCAAAATATTCATTATTATAAAGGCTAAAAAAAATAAGTGTCTTTGTTCTCAGGCAGCACCCGCATCATCATTAAGTCTGCCGCACATTTCGTTTTTATTTCCATTTTCAAAATAAAATAATTCTTAAAAACAGTGTGTTCCAATATTTCACATAGTTACTTCCCTTTACATGCACACAGTTTTGCTGCACATCTAGTGTTATGGTCATGGCGCCAGTAGGAGTTTCAATATGTTGGTTTATGTAAGGATGTCCTTTCCCAGGTTGATCGTCAAAACCGTTTATCTGGTTACATACTAATTTGAATAATCAAAGAAATATAAAAACCCACCGCCCAGCCGCACTATATTTTCAAAAGTCATCAACTGAGAACCAATTCTTTTACATTTTTAAGCCATATATATTGGTGAGTCATGTACCTATCAGTTTCAATCAACAGAATCATCAGTGATGGCATTTTAGGTTTTCAGTGCTGGTCGTAAGACACGACGAAATGGATCGGGAGGTCAGGCTTGTTTACTTGGTTCATTGCGTGTCTTTGTTGTTCACAATACTGATCACTTGATTGTCTGGTCCAGACTCGATTATTTACGGGTATACAGCTGGCATATTGCTTGGTGCAGTGTTAAGCAACAAACAAACAAACAACAGCTCATGACTATCTACATGACTATACATTAGGTCGTCATAAGCTGAAGAATGACCCAGGTGGACGTAGCTATCACTCACACTGTGACTACCTTATGCGTACATAGACTGAAATAGTCGTAGCATTAAGAACTTAAGTAGGAGGGATCCTGGTTAGAATACTGTAAATCTGGAATGGCATGCATGCACACATGCATAAACGCACGTCGCTTTATAAATCACATTCTCACCTTCTATTTCGGTTGCTGTTACATCAGTTGAACAGAGGTATGTGTTAGACATATCCAGTGTGAGGCTGTAAAACAAATGTCACATGATTATTTTCCTCCTCCAGGCTAGCTGTTTCCCCGCCCACGTCTTGAGTCCACCAGAGGGCAGTGTGGTGATTGACAGCTGCGCTGCCCCCGGCAACAAGACCAGCCATGTCGCCAGTCTACTCCGAAACTCAGGGTTTGTGTGTTATGTTTGATAATCATTCTGTTTTCTGATGGTGTTATTGAGTAAATAACTGAAAATTTCATATGGAACTGACTGTGACAGGATAAATCATATCTATAAAATATTATGACTCTTCTCACAGTGAGATAATATCTCATCCTTAAACGTATACATATACATATTGTGTTGGATACATTTCTTGGCCAAGGTCAAGAAAAGGCAAAAGTTAATTTCATGTGACTTAAACATGTTGTCATTCTGTGTCACAGTTTCTTTTAAATGTTCTCAACTAATTCTAAATTGAATCTGTGGTAGTCTGGTTGTTGTACTGTTCATCGATGACAGTTTTATTCACTCAAAATATATTTGTTATTATTGTTTAACTGCTCGTCACGAAAAAGCTGAAATATTGCAAATTTTAACTCACTCACTCACTTAGCCACAGTTCAAATTTTAGATAATGATTATTGAACTGTTACTTACATAATTTCACAGATGTGAAATAATCAACTTTAAACCGAACAATTTTTTTTCTAGGAAAGTATTTGCCTTTGACAAAGACCGGCGGCGTCTGAAGACAATGTCTCAGCTGCTGGAGGTGGCCGGAGTCACCAACACGGAGCAGACGTGTCAGGACTTCCTGTCTGTCGACCCTCTGGAGGAGAAGTATGCTGCAGTCGAGTACATGCTGGTGGATCCTTCATGTAGTGGATCTGGTGAGAATTCAGGGAATGTTGTTTAGTTTGTTTGTTTATATTTGTCTGTTGTTTATTGCTGCAGTCAGCAATATTCCAGGTGTTTGATGGCCGCCTGTGAATGAGAATCTGGACCAGACAGACCAGTGATTGTGATGTTGTTCAGTGACACAGCTGGTAGATCTTTCTTCATGTTTTGGTTCACAGATTATTTTGGAAAATCCTCATAGAAAGGGCAGTAGTTGGAAGGTTTAATGAAAAAGATGTTTCAGATTTTCGTTTTTGTTCTTCAAAATGTTCTCTGAATTGGTGTCCATGTGTGCTGTTGTTCAAATCTCACATTCACACAATCCCTTTGCCAGCACCATAATCTCAGCAGTTACTGTCCAAGATCACCCTGACTTGGTTGTCGTCCCATATCAAACATGCTGTCAACTTAGCATTACAACTATTTCTAGCTTACCAGTTCTACGACATCCCTGGATACCTTTAACATAAGACAAAATGACTTGGGCAGGCAGGCTACAGACAGTTTGTACGGATGGGGCTGAACTCACATGCAGATTACGGGGGCAGAAGAGGTCGCTAACAACCACATCTCCCCAAGGCAAGGGAAATAACTGACTATAAAAGTCCAGTTTCCATCCTTGCTGAACTTGGCTGGAATGATGGAGTTATATTTTGGCTGGACCAACGAGTCTATGCATAGTTCAATCAAAATCGTGTAACGAATTTGACATCCTGTTTGTAAACTGCCGTGCAGATTTAGGTCGATTGCAGGATTTGCAAAGCATGTGTGCTGCCAACTTTGCGTCAGCAAAGAGTTTTCAAATCTTTTCATGTTTTTAATCAAGGTGATCACCTGATTTAATGCACTTTGTGAAGTGAGATCACACGTTTTATCACAATGTAGATTTTGAAGGACGATTAGATTGTCTTGACTGGGCGCCGATGTTTTGTTAGAAGCAAATGCAAGTGATATAAGAGGTGGAGCCGGATTGGTCAATAGAAGTTACGTAACTGGTAATAGCCACTGGTGGCGCTACGACCCCTGCCACAGAAATTCCATCCTCAGGAAGTTGTAACCACCATGGGACTTAATTGTTCAGTGACTTTGCTGATACCATGTCATAGTGTGGATCATTGCTCTTAAATTTAATTTCAGTAGATTTTTGTGCTATTAATTAGACAAATATTAGCTGAACTTTTAGTAAAGAACAGGTTGTTCAGGGATTTATCAAGATTTGCTTCAAGGCTGATTTCTGGCCCCGAATCTGCAGCAAATGTCAGTCAAAATTCCAAAATTGGATTTAAACATTTCCCATTTCATGCCGTTGTAGTTTCCACCAATATGATGAGTTTGTAGATGTGACTTGAATTTCACTAACAAGAGGACCACTATAGAATTAAATTAGTTTAACATTATTGCATTGAAAGCAGTGTTAAAAATCAATTCTGAAAATACCTCTGAATTTAGGAAAATAAGAAACGAATCCCAATTTTGAAAACAATAATTCTATTTCCCATTTGCCGCTTAGTTTGGAATCCGAGATAAATGCCTGATGACACTGTGCTTGGGGTTTGGACGTGTGGTTAAAGTTTCAGACTGCATTCCATGTATGCAAGGAAAAACATAACACAATTTCTATTTCCTTTCAGGAATCGTTGGAAGACTTAATCACTTATCTGATGACGACAACTCTACAGCGGCTCGACTGAAGAGCTTGTCAAATTTCCAAGCCACCATTTTGAAACATGCCCTGTCCTTTCCCAGAGTGAAGAGGGTGGTCTATTCAACCTGCTCAATACATGCACAGGAAAATGAGGAGGTCGTGGAAGAAGTTATCCAAAAGGTTGGTGAGGACTTCAAACTGAAACTGGTCTTCACTGATTGGTCGAACCGAGGGGTGAAAGGTTATGAGCATGCTCCGATGTGTCTGAGGATGTCACCTGAGGACAATTTGACGAATGGTTTCTTTGTGGCTTGTTTTGAAAGGAGGAGGTTTCAAGGGAATGGTTCACATGGTGAAAAGGAAGGTGTTGGATGTTCAGAAAGTAGACTTACTTTGAATAATGGCGATGAAAGTACCAGAACTTTTACAAGAAAGGAAAAAAAAAGACTTAAGAAAAAGGCAAAAAAGGCACAGAAAAATCTGTTACTCAGCTCAGGTGTAACTGAGTTTGAAAGGGATGATAAAGATGAGGGTGAGGACGTTGATAACTGTGCAAGTAAGGATGACAGGAAAATGAAAATAATCCCCAAATCGGAAGATTTAGACTCCTCATACCTAGCTACTGAAACTGAAGAGGTGTTAAGGGTAGATAACTCTCTGCCTTGTGCCACTCCAGTCAAAACTGTGTTTTGTGGTGGCCAGAAGCACATGGGAAAAGCATCAGTTGAGAGTGAAAGAGTCCGAATGTTTCGGAAACGAAGTATTGAATTCCTGGATGTCAGCAACCTTTCCTGTTGTGTACTGCAATGTACCCCTTCCGGAGAGGCAGGGAAGCGGGCAAAGCAATTGTCTAATGTCGTTGGCTTCGGTTCCATGGTTAGGAACGCAGAATTAACCGAGAAAACTTTTGGTGCCCATGGGGACGCCAGTAGACACGAGTTGGTGACAGGTGTCAAGAGCCATTCATCCACAGAAAAGCGGAAACTGAAGAAGTTAAGAAGAAAGAAAAAACAAAGCGAGGGATTCAGCTTTTCAGGATAGTTGTTAGAATGAAATGGTGTGTTACATTTTACTGCATCAGTTTGATGTGGGATGTTTAGATTTTAGTAAAACAATTATAATCTAATTACTGTTGTTTTTTGTTGTTCTTGAATATGTCACTTTGTGTAGTTTATTGGTGACTGAGAGTGGCATGTGTAGTAAAAGAATCAGTGGTCAAGGTGGGATATTAATTAGAGACAGAAGTTTTCTTCGACCACTGCAACATACAACTTATTTCTCTGAAAGGAGAGTCTGAACAACTGATTTTCTCCGCACATATTTTTTGTGGTCATCCAACATGTCCAGTAACAGTTCTCAGCAAAACCTCAGATAGTTTCTTTCTTTCCATGTATTGTTGGAAACACTTTTTTTATAAAACATGTCCAAGGCCTCCTCTGGTATATGCAGTGGTCAAGCACTAAAAACTAACTATGCATGGTTCAACACAAGATTGGAAACACTGAGCTTGTGAGTCTCACAGTCATACCCCAGTACCAAAGTCCTGTGGGTAAGTCGGGGACGGGTAGCTCGGGTACTCAGGTCGGGTGGGTACTGAGTTTGACCTGGGTACCCACAGGACTACCCGTACCCGTGGTTAGTCAAGTGATATATTGTTTAATGGCAAAATAATCTAGAACTATATGGTTACTCCACAAGTCACTAATGTTCACATTTCTTTCTGACTATCCACGCATTCCACGACTTTATATGTTTGAATAAAGATAAAACTTCAGTCACTTTAGTGTATGCATGACCAGTTCGTTTTATATGAGTGTCTTAATACCTTTTGCCAGTCCATGGTCAAACTATTGCCAATCAGACATTTGGACCTATCTCTGAGACCTCCAGCAGGTACCTGGGTCAGGTAATAGCCGGGTGGGTACCTAGGTAGGGCGGGGTAATAGCGGGGTGGATACTCGGGTAGGGCAGGTAATAGCGGGGTGGGTACCTGGGTAGGGCGGGTAATAGCGGGGTGGGTACCTGGGTAGGGCCGGGTAATAACAGGGTGGGTACCTGGATAGGGTCGTGTAATAGCGGGGTGGGTACATGGGTTGGGTCGGGTAATAGCTTGATGGGTACCTGGATAGGGTCGTGTAATAGCCGGGTGGGTACCTGGATAGGGTCGGGTAATAGCGGGGTGGGTACTCGGGTAGGGTTGGGTAATAGCCGGGTAGGTACCTGGATAGGGTCGGGTAATAGCGGGGTGGGTACTAGGGTAGGGTTGGGTAATAGCCGGGTAGGTACCTGGGTAGGGTCGGGTAATAGCGGGGTGGGTACCTGGGTAGGAAATTTGCACTCGTCCAAGCCCTAGGGCAAGTAAATGGGAAACGTTTGTATTGTCAATTAATGCAATGTGTTATCCTTTCGTTCAACCTAAAATGAGTCGTATTACATGGAGATGATGGTTAAAAGTGTGTCCTTTTGACACCTTTAATTAAGTCCTGTGTTTGGCTTTTACATTTCTCCCCCAGGAAGAGGGGGCAATTATTGTATGTTGTTGCAATTTGGTTTGCAGGCCAGTGCTAAGATTGGCGTAAGTGGCAAGACGAAGCGATACCACAAGTTGCCCATTATGCCTGTACATCATGTGTGTACATCATTGCAACAGTTTTTTGTTCTGCCTTTGGAAAAAGTATTTCATCAGTTGGAACACACAGATTGTCTTTTCAATATTGATTTTGGCGTTGTGCTGATGTCTTGGGTCACGCTTATCTTGTTCCGGTGCCGTGCCTTAACTGACAAAATAACATGGGGCATGGGCCATGGAGATGAGCTATCCTTGGAAAGATGTCACCAAAATTTTCCAAGAAACTTTATCTTTTTCTCACATGTTTATAATGATATGCATACACACGAAATGGCCTTTACCATAGTGCTATGAGGGAAACATTCACCCATTTCTGTGTAGCGAGGTCTGCCTGTCAAGAGGGTAGGGAACAGGCCTCTAGCATATCGCTTCGAAGGAAGTGCCACTCTCATGGAGATGTATGGTTCATGTTTAAAATAACTCTCAACGTTTCAATTTTATCATATCTGCATGTCTCCATGTGCAGATCTACTTCTATAAAATAATATTACAACATTGTAGCTATTACTTTGAAAAGACAAATTATGAAACAAAATTAATAACTTTACCTCTATAGATAAATCAATGTCAACAGTATCATGTATACCACTATGATTGTGTCAATTTAATACCCCCATGTTCCTTGGAACCAATAAGTCATTGCTGGGAAAACATATCTCTGGTGTTGTTTTCATGATATGCTTGTCCTCCACTTTTATCTTCCATAAACGACCGCCTCCGTAGTCTAGTGGTAGAGCGTCCCCCCGGAGAGCGGAAGGTCCGGGGTTCGATCCCCGGCCGCGTCATACCAAAAGACGTTAAAGGATGGTACTTGTTGTTACCCTGTCTCGCGCTCGACGTTAAGGGGCTAAAACAAGGACTGGTCGGCTTGGAGTCAGTATACTCTGTCTGAGTGGGGTATTCATGTTAAACTGCGGCATGGTATCTCAGTGAGCTAGCACTATAAATCGGCATCAGTCCGGACTAGTACAAGCAGCCACACATACACGTGCATGCACGTCGCTATATAAGTACAATAATCTTGGACGCGATTTCACCTCACCTCGTACATAAATATTTAAACCGAAATGTGCCATATGCTCATTACGGATACTGAAGGTACATTGTACCACATGCAAATGCCAGATATGTTTTTCGTGTGGAACAATTTCATCAGTCACAGTTGAGGCCTCCTGCGTTCTTGCAACAGCAAATGAATGAAAGCAAAATGCAATTGTCGCAATTACAACCAACAATAGTTCTATGTATAATATCAGGCAGTTACCTTGTTCGAGGAATGTATCGGTAATTGTAACATAAAAGTAGGTATGTTCTCTGCTCTGATTGGTTAAAAGTGTTGACGAATGAGCATAACATCACCGAATTTGTTTGGCCTCACAACCGTGTATGTATACATTAATTAATGGAACTATTTTTACTTTTGAAATCATCAACATGGAGGAACAGATGGAAATTTTCCCTGATTTCCATATTGGAGATTTCTATGAAATATTGAGGGAATGGGACGACGAGACATTTTCTGAGATAATTCAAGACATTGAAGGTAAATGTTGTTGTTTTTTCATCCATAGGGGAGGGGCGAGGTGTTTTCATCAGTGAGCATGGGATTCAAACCTGAAAGAAGGATTCCACTCCAGCTAATATCCGGGTTTCATACACAATGCGAAAGTTTTGTTTGTTTGTTTGTTTGTTGTTTAACGCCGCACTCAGCAATATTCCAGCTATATGACGGCGGTCTGTAAATAATCTAGTCTGGACCAGACAATCCAGTGATTAATATCATGAGCATCGATCCACGCAATTGGGATCGATGACATGCATCAACCAAGTCAGCGAGCCTGACCACCCGATCCCTTTAGTCGCCTTTTACGACAAGCAGAGTCACCTTTTACGGTAAGCATGGGTTGCTGAAGACCTATTCTACCCCGGAATCTTCACGGGTCCAATGCGAAAGAGAACAGGTATCACGAACCGATAAGACACGTGGTAACACTGTCGTCTCTCCTGACCCTCAGTACAGAGTTAGCTAACTGTTCATGACGGTTATGTACCTCGGACTTCAACGTCCCATCGATGCAATTGCATTGTCCACGATACTCAAAGGCAGGTTCTACCCGTAGAGATCCGGGTCAGACTAGATCCTCAGCAACCCATGCTTGCCACAAAGGCGACCATGCTTGTCGTAAGAGGTGACGAACGGGATCGGTTGGTCAGGTTCGCTGACTTGGTTGATGCATAACGTAGATCATGCTTATGATGTCAATCACTGGATTATCTGGTCCAGACTCGATTATTTACAGACCGCTATCATACAGCTGGAATGTTGACGAGTGCAGCATTAAACAACACAAACAAAGAAACAAACTATGTACAATGTATTGTGTTGGTATTGAATAAGTGTTTTGTTTGTTTTCAAAATGTGTTTGTCTTTTGTTCCCGGAGCATTTTGACACATTTCTGAGACATGTTGCATTGCGTCGAGATGTTTGTTGAAGAAGCACGACGGTTGGTTTTGGGGAGAATACTTGTTCGAGACCTAACAAAACCAACAATTGTGAAAGTGTTTTTAATTTTATTGCCAGCAATGGTAATACGTCCATCTGCCAGCATTAGGTTTTCTATCTCCTTGATTGAATCTTCATTGATGGAAGTTGAGGGACGTCCAGACCTTGGATCATCATCAAGGTTTGTTCTCCCAGCCTTTATCATAGCTTAGCTTCCTAACATGTAACAGTGGAACAGCTAGGACACTTCTCCCATACACTTGTAACATGCGGTCATGGATGTCTTGGGGAATACTTTAATCTGAAGTGAAAAACTTGATGACTGATCGGTTATGTTCTTTTCCATTTCTGTGTCCATTTGGACCCCTATCACGTTCAACGGGCTGACACTAATATACAAACGGACTCAACAGACTCAAGTACACTTGCTACTCAAACAATTTACTGCATTGACTTGTTCATTTTTTTCTGGCCAATAGTTGAAAGTTAGTCAGGCTTAGAACTTTTTGACCAGCCCTCGTATGAATAGTGCTTGAGTGTAATGAGTGTTGAATGTAATATTACGCTGTTATGCAGAAGGACCACCTGAGTACTTGCACGAAATCATCTGTTAAATGTGCATTGATATTGTTTGCTTCCGGTAGGTGTGATGCTAATTGATTTAACACCGAGACAACGCATTGTTTTCCCTTGCTTTTTAAGCACTGATTAAATAGATGACATCATGATATATATTACTGACTGGCGATGGATTGTCATGTGATATAATGAGATTTAGCGCAGTTAATCATTTAGAATCTATCGTCCATATTAGGTACATCTTTTTCCGTGTTGTGTCACGATATCGAATGAACTGAGTTCAACAGGGCTCCCACCCATCGCTGACATAAATGAAACACTGGATCTAGGCAAGCACCTCGCATTAATAGGGGCTTGTTGGTTTTGACTTACAGACGTGACACCATAAACGCTGAAGTGACTCCACTTGCCTTTGCAGGAGCATCA